CACTGATGTTTTCGTAGATTTACTTTTTCCCAGGAATGCTTCATCTGTTGATACATGTATATTCTCACTGTGAACGATTTGTGTCTCAAAAAAAACTTGTAAGATTTCTGCAGTTATTTTTGTTGAATACATACATACACATAGGGTGAAAATTGGGTACTTGGTGCAATTTGGGTACTGTGACGTTATAGCCATAATTGTTTATTGCTATAATAGGTTGAAATGTGCACCTGATAAAAGTATTCGGTAAAGTGAAAATGTTTTGATCAGGTTTAAACTGATGCATAAAATATACTGGTGACTGCTGGAGGCAAATATTTATATTGCCTCCAAATAATGTGTCTGCAGCTTGAATTTCAAAAGATGTATGTAGCCCACATACTTCCAAGTAACATGCTCTATACCTATCAAAAGTCATGGTATTATCATGGGTTATCATAACTCCATTGTAATTCCCATAAAATCCAATTTTGGACAATATGGGAGCATACAATATATACCTAAATGTATCACTCAGACTCAAGTCTCCTTTTACTATGATTAAACTTAGAGAGTGAAAAAAAAAACAGTCTCCATCTCCTGGGACTGTTTAAGGTAGATATGTGTCATAATTAATGACAAGATTTGTTGAGAGTTTGTCAAAGGAAGTACAGTGACAGTCTCCAAATTAGAAGATTGTGAATTTGAATATATATATATTTTTTTTAAAACTTTTGTTAAGTTTTGAATTACACCTGCATTTGTCTGTTACCTAGGAATAACAGTGACCACATTCCACAGTATAACCAACTTCATTATCACTGTAACTTGATATGGGAAATTCTGTAGCAGATTTTACTACCTTCACCAGGTCAGGAATAACCACCAATCGATGGATTATACCTCAATTGACGTATAATCCACCAATTGACATATATTGGTATAGACCAATTGGCGTATAATGCAATTTTTTTGTTATAAAATGCTAGTGTGAGATAGGAGCATCATTTTGCACCTTACAACCTATTTTATGACCATTATTGAGTCCTCTGAAAGTTTCAGTTTTGTCAAAGCCTGCTGCATCTCTTGAGAATGCATGTGTACAACAATTCTTTTGTTGAAACATCTGTACTATTGACCAAGAATTGACAAGATAACAATAGAAGAAACTGCAAATACAATTATTGATTAAATGTATGTCACTATACTAAACTAGGAATGTTTGACATGTTTTCATACAGTTATATGGTTTTAAGAAAACAATGCTCCATTTTGGTTGAATAATTTGCTTTAAAAAAAAATTATACATCAATTGGTCTATACCATTACATGTCAATTGGTGGATTGTACGTCAATTGAGGTATAATCCACCAATTGGTGGTTATTCCTGACCTGTTCTGTGTTCACCTCCGCCTCCGGCTACGTTTCTCCCAAAATTTATTGCTTGCACTGCAGAGGGTTTTTCTGTGTTCCCATGGCTGGACGGAACTTTTACACTCAAATGTTATCATTAATTATGATATTGTGACTTTTAAATGAAGTACCTGTGGTAATTTAGGAGATTTGTCACTGATAATGGAAAGATGAAGCAGACGACGAAACATGGCGTAAGATGTTGTTGTCCAAACTTCGGTTGTTTCCGTGGTACAATAAAATTAAAATAAACTGCACAAGTTACTAAAATTTCTAAATTCTTGTTTTTGTAAACAAATAAGAATTCATGTCACATTTAACATCAAATTTATTCCGTTTTGTCCCGTTTTTTCAAGATCGCGATTAAACGAGAATCTGGCAGCCATCAAAAATATAAGGGTTAAACTAATGTCCTGAAATTGTCCTTACGGATATTCCAATGCTAATTTCGTTTTCATTATTTGAAGAATGGACCTTATATTTGGAGCCAAGCAAGAATACAGTGTTTGTTTAATAAATATAATGAAAAAAAAGAAAACAAATATTTTTAAGAGTTAAATAACTTGACTTGATCTACTTCGAAAATTAAAAAAAAAAAATCGTACGAGATTTAACGAGAGTGACGAAACTTTTTAGATTGCTCATGTAGAGAGAGTTATCGTTCTTTATTCCAATTCGATGCTTCTACCATAAGTGCCAGCTAAAGCTGGCATAATAATATTTACGCAGTTAATTTACTACTGCAATTAAAACAATAAATGATTATTATGGCAATCTAGTTATTTATTCAATTTTAAGTATATCTTGTATTCTTAATGAAATATCTTATTTGAGGTGGATGGGGGTCTTAATTAAAATCCATAGATTTTTTTAATAATTTGTCAAAATGTAGTTTTTATCATGCTTTTTTCCAAAATATAGTAAAAAGTATGGGTCACCGAACTTCTTTCACGCTACAGGTTGTGCAAAATTGTCAGATTTTGTATATACATGGAGAATCCAATGTGTGTGATAAAAAGAAAAGTACACCATAGAATTTTAAGTTAAAATGTGAGAAAATAGCTCTTATAACATGATTTCAGATAAGAAAAAGAAAAAAATGGGGTCACCGGACTTGTTTTCTTGCTACATATTAAAATAGGTTAATTCACAACACTTTCTCTGAGTTATCTCCCCTTATGTGGCAAAGTTGAAAAAAATGAATAAAACATAGATATTGTGTTTTGTAGAAAATACAGCCGTAAATATAATAAAACACATACTTTTTTATATTAACATGAAAAGTCTTACACAATTACATACTACACTCAAAATTTGCACATTTCATTAATGATCTAGACCCATTGTTATCTGCTACTTCAAAATCCAAGATGGATTAAGACACCCCAGCCCGACCTTAAAAAGACATCTTAAGATATAGTAATTATTTTATATAAAGATAAAAAAAAAGAGTATTTATTTTATAAGATATCTTACAAGCTATTCAAGATATCTCATATGACTGATTAATCATATATCTTATTTAGTGTATGAGACATCTCTTGAAATTTAGAAGATATCTTATTTGACAAACAATATATCTTTTATATTTAGTTTTATAAGATATGTGATTTAATATATTATTTATCTAATTTAGTTTATATGATATATCTATTAGTTTATAATAGTTTATAAAGAGAGGCGAAAGATACCAAACTCTGAAGTCGAAAATAAACTGACAACGCAAAGGCTAAAAAAGTAAAAGATCAACAGACAAACAACAGTACACAAAACAAAACAAAAAAAAAACTAAAAACTGAGCGACGCGATCCCCACCAAAAACTGGGGATGATCTTAGATGCTCCGGAAGGATTAGCAGATATATAAGATATCTAATAGTTTATAATAGTTTATAGTTAATTAGTTATCAAAGGTACCAGGATTATGATTTAATATGCCAGACACGCGTTTCGTCTACATAAGACTCATTAGTGACGCTCAGATCAAAATAGTTATAAAGCCAAATAAGTACAAAGTTGAAGAGAATTGAGGAACCAAAATTCCAAAAAGTTGATATCTCAATTAGTTTACAAGATATATTATCTAAGTTATTAAGTTTACAAGGCCTCTTTAAAAAAACATAAGGTATATTATATAGTTTATTACATATCTTATACTTTATAAGATATATGCTATAGTTTATAAGTTATCTTATGAAGTTTATATGATAGCTTTCATATATAGGTTATTAACTTTATAAGATATCTTGAAACGGAATAAATTTAGAAACGGCTTAATTGCCATAAAAGATATCGATTATTGGTGGTTACCAAAAGTGCAAAAACATAGATAAATTAGTTATGATAGGTTATTGATATAAATTCTTGATTTGAAATAAACAATCAATAAACTGTACTCAAACCGGTGCTAGAGGCCGCCTTGCACTTGCGATGAGGTGTGAGCGTTTGTTTCGTGTTAAAGGCTTCATTTTGACTTTGAAATGAAGAACATAAATAAAAACACTTGTTACTAGTATTTATGTTTGGTTTGTTAACGTGCGGACAGGGATTTGTGTCATGAATTAATCCTATCTTTGTTTTCGACCATTAACTATATAATATAGTTCTGTTATAGATAATGCATATTTTAAGGTCTTTCTTGTCGTATAACACACTGAGGGGTGTCAGGATTGATCAAATGAAAGACCGACCGGAGGTCATTATTTTATGCCTTGAAGCAAATTTCATTGAAACTTGGTATCGTCCGGGTTGATTCTGTAAAAGAAAGACCTGTCGTTCTGAAAGAAAATAACTCCACATAGGTATATAAATCTTTATTTTATTGAATTCATTTATTTATCTATTAAGGTGAATATGGATAAATGATTGAACAAAAAAGAACATATTTGTATACATTTTTCGTAGCTGATGCCCTTTTGATTTATTACTGCAATAAAAACAATGAAATGATATTGATAAGTGGTGGTAAGAAAAAGTACAAATGCATTGATATAGAACAAACAAGCAATACACTGTACTTGTTCAAAATCGATGCTAAGGACCGTCTTGAACATGCGATCATACGTAATTGGGAACAGGACATATTTTGTTTTAGCTCACCCCAATTTTTCCAAAATCCGTTATGTTTTCGTTTTCCTTTAATTTCAATTATTTTTGCGTTTGTATGTATAACATGAACATGAATATACTAGAAATAACTTGTATTTGCTTTTTATTATCAATTCCAAGTCCTGTGGATAGTAAACTTGGAATTGAAAGAAAATACCAAATACAAGTTATTTCTTGTATACTAGCATGCATGTTCGAATTACACATATAAACGCAAAATAATTGAAATTATTAGAAAAAATAAAAAAATAACGGGTTTTGGAGAAAAGAGGATGGTCTAAAAAACAATTTGTCCTGTCCTCAAGTACCTTTGCTTGCAATGAGGTGTGAGCTTTTGCTTCGTGTTAAGGCGTCATTGTGCTTGAGACTAAAAACAGCAATAAAAGCGTTGATCCTTTGCTTTTGGTTTGTTAAGCGCGTAGAGGGACTATGTATCATGAATTATAAACCCTGTCTTTCCCCCTATATATATCTATTGAATTCATTTATCTATCTATTTAGGTGAATATGGAAAAAAGTGTATCATACTCCACAAAGGATTGGGATGATACTGCAGACGTTCCTCTTCTCCACGTGACCTATCTCATTCATTTATTACTACCAAGACGCCATTTTGGACATGATAGACTTCAGATCGAAAAACAGAAAATTCTTCAAGGGTTTTCAAATGTAAAGGAGGGTCTTTCAGGCAAGTTACACATTGTCCCAGTTGGAAGTAAGTCAGAGGGTTATGGGATACCGGATGCTGTGAGATTGACAGATCAACCATATATTGAATATATGTCAGATATCGACGCCATGTTAGTGCGAGAGGAATTTTCCGCTTCGGCTAATGAATTTGAAAAAGCTGGAACGAGAAATTCAGTTTTTATTGAGACTTCTCAAACTCACCCTGGATATGGACGTGTGAGGTTCCGTTCTCCAACAGACATAAACAGTAAACTGTTATATCACGATGGCCAAACAGACAAGTATTATCTGAATTCTAGTATGATTATGCAGGAACAGGGCGAAATGATGAAAACCAGCACAGACGATGATTTAAAATATTCACTGCAAGGTCCAGCTGTTTCTTCAGACGACATAGTTCCAATGACACTGGAGAGAGGGAAAACATCAAAACTTGTTCATCCCCAGGATTACGTGTTAGCTATCCCTTGCAATTCATGGCCAGAATGTGCAATACCATGGACTAGGCGGAAACGCACTAATAATTGGTTGGCAGCTGACATTGTTGACTCGATTGTTTCCACCGGATTCCATATGGTACCAGTAGCTCATCGTTTAAGCAGTAATCCTGACATTGAGTGGAGATTGTCATTTGCAAAAGCCGAACAAATCCTTGCTGAACAGGCGGTCACTGCAGCACAACGACAGTGTTTTGTTTATCTTAAAATTTTACGTAAACAGACCATGGAGGAAAACACTAAACTTTCATCTTATTTTCTAAAAAACATATTTTTACATTGTTGTGAGGAATTACCAGTTCGAATTTGGGATGACGACCCTGCTAGCTGTGTTTTGTACATGCTAGATGTTCTTTTGGAATGCGTTCAAAAAAGAAAACTCCCTAGTTACTTCTTACCAGAAAACAATCTGATAGATTATTTAGACGAGTCAGAATTACAGTCCATTGAATCAGCTCTTCAAAACATTCGTAGTGATCCAATTGCGCCAATTTTAAAATTCACAGATTCAAGAATTTTCTGTTATGCCCAGGAATGTTTAAGTTATAGCACAACTTTCCGAAGCATTGTTCAGCTAGTCTTGGATGAAATTGCTTCCGTTGAAGATGTTGATATTGGAAGAACCGTCTTAGGTTGTTTTACTGATATCCAGTGTAACATTGCATCAGTGATGCTAGGCGAGAAGCGGACATCCTTTTCATACCATTTGGATTTTTATCAGCTTTTTGTACAAAAATATATACAGATGTCCTTTGTGGATTTTGTTAATTATATGGGTATTAGACTAGAAACACCTTTCATAACGTTAATGTTTTATGAGAAATGCTTGGCTGAGGTACAAAACTTTCCAGAACTTGAATATTTGAGAGGGAATATGGCATGTATGTGTTTTGCCTTGGCACAAACTCACGATGATAAATCAAAAGAAAGAAAAATGCGATTATACCAAGCAGAGAAACTTTACAATGAAGTTCTACAACATAATGGTATTCATTTTGCTAGCACCATTGACTTTGCAAACTTTCTATGCGATAGTGAAAGATGGGAAGAAGCAATTAGTTTGCTTGAAAAATTCATTGAGACAGAACGAAAAAGACCATCATCAATGCAAAATGGATATTATCCTGCCGAATCTACAACACTGAATGTTCAGCTTCAAAGGGAGGTTAAATATGCAGGCTGCTTCTTGGCAAGTTCTTTGTCATTTGCATATTATTTCCTAATTAAGGCCACCATTGAAACAAAGTTGCCAAACTTGCCAAATATTCTGGAAAAATTTGAAAAGCATTGCCATTCTGTGAACAGTTATGGAGATTATGAACTTCTTGGATATAGTGGACTAGATACTAAAAACTACGTTTTAGCAGAGTTGGCCTTTTCTAAAGCTGCAAATTTACATCAAAATAACTTGCTTGCTCAGGTGAACCTTAATCTATGCAGAGCCAACGATCCACCAGCCAAAAAGCAATCGAGGATTGCATACTTGAAAATAGTTTTCAAATACTGTCTCAGCATAGGTTACTTGCTAGATGACAATATAGTTAAAGCAACGAATTTAATTTTCAATAGATGATTACTGTTTATATACACAAGTGGTCTTTACATGTTTTGACAATGATCAGTTTATTATCTGTTTTCTTATTGTTTTACTCGGTAAAAAGAATGACATAGCATTCAGGCATTGTAAGAATTTTAATGTATTTGTGGCACGATTTGTAGAATATTTTGTGTTACAATTACCAATTCAGAAATGGAAACTGGGCTGGCTGGAAAATTTGGATTATACAAGATAAAAAATACATCTACACAGAGTGTTTTTTGTCAAAATATTTCATATCAATTTTTGTCGAGCCTGCGGAATTTTTTTCGCGAAAGCGAGACATAGCGATCCTAGATTCCGTCGTCGGAGTCAAAATTTAGGTTCAGTCTGTGGTTAAAGTTTTTTTTTGACATCAATAACTTTGTCAAACCTACATGGAATTAGATGAAATTTGGACAGAAGCTTGTTAATGACCAAAATACAGCATCCAGAGCAAACTTTTGGAAATATTTATTTTCAATTTTTCCGTATTTTCCTCATAAATGGACTTAGTTTTTTTTTTTTACAATTAACATTCATATTCAGTCTGTGGTTAAAGTTTTTCAGTCATTAATAACTTTGTCAAACCTTCATGGAATTTGAAGAAATTTGGACAGAAGCTTGTTTATTACCAAAATATAGTATCCAGAGCAAAATTTTGAAAATATTTTATTTTCATTTTTCCGTATTTTACTGATAAATGGACTTAGTTTTTTTTTTTACATTTAACAAATAGATACAGTTTGGGGTTAAAGTTTGTTACAAATCAAATACTTTGTCAAACCTTCATAGAATCTTATGAAACTTTTTTATGATTAAGAGATAATGTCTGAAGCACACTTTTAAAAATATATTTTTTCGTTTTCAGTATTTTTTTTGATAGACGGATTTTTTACAGTTAACATTTTCTGAGAGTCTGGGATTAAATTTTTTTTGACATGATAAGTTTGTTAAACTTCATGGATTGTTATGAAACTTGGACAGAAGCTAATCTTCAAGACCAAGAAATAGCATTTAAAGAGAAAATTTGAATCTTTTTTAACATTCTGTATTTTACTGATAAATTGACTCACTTTTTAAGTCAACATTGCACTTTTACACTGACAGCAGCAATCGTAGGCGAGACAAAGGGTTCCGCGAAACACCTTACAGATGTTTGATAAAAAGACAGGGTTATGTATATTCGGCTCTTAAGTTCAAAGTGTCATACAAAGTATCAGCAATCATTTTTGAATTCCCTACACTCTTCTTCTTTCGCATTAAGACACGAGAAATGTACTGATCAATACTTGAAACTACATGAATCCAGCTTAATATTTTATTAATGTAGGTGAGGGACAACTGTGATTTATCGTAGAAATGAAGTAACAATCTGCTCATGTAGAAAACACATTTCTCTTAATACTGTGTTGGTGATGTTAACCAATTCACTACAAAACTGGGGGAAATAAAGGCCTCTAGATACTGCACCAGAACAATATTGAGGTCAATCTAGTATTTTAGAATCACATATCTACAAAATGACCACATATACTTTTGTCCCTGAACCACTCATACCCTAAGTCACCATACATATTAGGTTCTACCTACTGTTTCTGAACTACTCATAGATCAAGTCTCTTCAAATGCTGGAGTTCACCTACGATAGCACCATTCACTCAGTCACTTCTAAACTTAGGTCAACTTACTATGCTAGAACTGCTCGTACACCAAATCACCTCAAAGACTGGGGTTCACTTTATGTTCTAGAACCACCCAATCAGAAAGCAATAATAATTGGACCCACCTGTTGTACAGAGTTCAGGGTAACTCATTCATCTAGTCATCAAAATACTAGCGTCCACGAAATGTACTATCTGGTATTTCCATTCATTCGCAATTTCATATAAAGCGAACTTTTCCTACTGTATACAATTGTACATACAGATATATGTCACCTGATAAACAACAAAATAAAACAGAAATTCTATGGACCAAATATTACCACGTCACTTAAAAATGTTGTAAATCAAGAGAAGCAGTTTTTGATGCACCAAACAGACAAGTGTTATTCTTATTCACTGCTAATAGATATAAGAAGATGTGGAATGAGTGCCAATGAGACAACTCTCCATCCAAGTCAAAATTTATAAAAGTAAACCATTATAGGTCACAGTACGGTCTTCAACATGGAGCCTTGGCTCACACCGAACAGTATGCTATAAAGGGCCCCAAAAATTACTAGTGTAAAACCATTTAAACGGGAAAACCAACGGTCTAAGTACTTTTAACCAAAAAAATCCCCACCTTTTGACTCTCACTATATGACATTCATCACAGCTAACATATGAAAAACTAATCACCACAACACTTTGGTCCAACTACTAAACCTGACACTGCTTATTCTCTCCAACACCTCAGAACAACTCAACACCACAACACTCTGGTAAAACTACTAAACCTGACACTGCTTATTCTCTCCAACACCTCAACACCACAACACTCTGGTACAACTACTGAACCTGACACTGCTTATTGTCTCCAACACCTCAGAACAACTCAACACCACAACACTTTGGTCCAACTAAACCTGACACTGCTTTTTATCCACAACACCTCAGAACAACTCAACACCACACACTCTGGTACAACTGCTGAACCTGACACTGCTTATTATCTCCAACACCTCAAAACAACTAAACACCACAACACTCCGGTCCAACTACTAAACCTGACACTGCTTATTATCTCCAACACCTCAGAACAACACAACACTTCGATTCAACTACTAAACCTGACACTGCTTATTCTCTCCAACACCTCAGAACAACACAACTCTTTGGTCCAACTACAGAACCAGACACTGCTTATTCTCTCCAACACCTCAGAACAACTCAACATCACACAACTTTGGTCTAACTACTGAACCTGACACTGCTTATTCTCTCCAACATCTCAGAAAAAATCAACACTACAACACTTTAGTCCAACTACTGAACCTGACACTGCTTATCTCTCCAACACCTCAGAACAACTCAACACCACAATACTTTGGATCAACTACTGAACCTGACACTGCTTATTCTCTCCAACACCTCAGAACAACTTAACATCACACAACTTTGGTCTAACTACTGAACCTGACACTGCTTATTCTCTCCAACATCTCAGAAAAAATCAACACCACAACACTTTAGTCCAACTACTGAACCTGACACTGCTTATTCTCTCCAACATCTCAGAAAAAATCAACACCACAACACTTTAGTCCAACTACTGAACCTGACACTGCTTATTCTCTCCAACACCTCAGAACAACTCAACACCACAATACTTTGGATCAACTACTACTACAGAACTGTAGCTCTTATGGTCCTTATATTTTTTTGTCAATTTGCAGACCATAGTTTCTTACATCTACATCATTTGGTCTTGGTTGGATAAATGTCATATGGCAATCATACCACATCTTCTAATTTGATAAATAATTTGAATCAAATGTACAAGAACCACTTATACTCTAAGTAATCACACCTTCAATACCCAAGTGATTAATGTACTTTAGTCACTGAAATATAGTACAACAGAACCATTTGTTTCCTAAAATCACAAAACTTACATTTATAAGGTATATCTACCTTCTATTACAAGATCATTGAGTCTTCTCATTCTAAATTGCTGCCTTTTAAACAAAAATATAGTGTGCAGCTGTATGATTTTACACTTCATTGTGGTTATTAGGTGTTTGCAGATATTTTAAGGTGTTGAATGGGCTGACTTTCCCTCGCAGCTCTTTAATATTGGTGTAATCAACTTCATTGATTCCACCTGAACTGTATACAAATATAGGAAAACATCAAAACAAATATTTTATCTGTTTTATTGTTTACAAATTTCAGATACACATTTTTGTGTATGTATATTTTAAATAAATTGCTAAAAAATAAATCATCAAGACCAACATGAGTTATAAACTACAACATAATGAGTCAAATGTATTTGATAACATACCACTTAAATATAACAATATATAAAGCATTAACAGTTGCAAATTGTTGTTTTATCCTTCAGATGAGATATTTATATAGTTAGAGAGTTCATAAACATGCAAATCTGACCTCAAATTTCACAATCAACATTTTGTTCGAGATAAATTTTTGAGAGTCAATGGCAACAACCTCTTATAAGTATTCATGCTTAAGATACACATGTTTGATATTTATGAAATATGTATTAAACCTGTGTGCATGTGTCCATCTGTTAAAAGGCTAGTCACACTTAATTTCCTTTATCAAAACAAAATTTCTAATGGAGGTTTTTTTGGGTAGTATTTCCTTATTTCAGAAAAGGGAACAGGAAAAGGGTACATGGAATCCATTCCAGTTTGAATTTAAAGTGTATGCATTTTTGATTAAATTGGCAATTGGTTTGATTCTGAATAAAATTCAGAAAATGAGCCTTTTTATGGATACTACTATCACTCTAAATAAAAAAATGTGATTTAATCTTACTTTGTGCTGGTTGTCTTTCAAATTGTCCTGGTTTTGTCATAACTGTTTTTAAACCCATTAATATTATCTAAGATCGAATGATTTTCTACAAGTTCTTAAACACTGTACATTAATATATGATTATATAAAGCTAGCTGTGTATATATCTTTAACAGAAATATAATAAAAATCTTCATTTTTAAAAATTTAGAACAACCTGTATTTAGGACACTTAAAGGATGACTTCTTAACCTTTCTTTTACTACATGTACTTGCCTATCTAAAATGGTATTCTATTAAAAACAAATTTAAATTTTAAACTGGATTTAACATAAAAGAGGGTCTGGATTGAGTTTACAGATAGCATAATGGGCCAGAAAAAAAAAGAAATAATGAATAGAGAAAAATGTGCAAAATAAAAATTAAAGAAAAATGGGGTGCTTGAATAATTTAGAATATAGAATAATGGGCAAAAAACAAAGAAAGAATAATGGGCAAGAAAATAAAGTATACAGAAATGAAGACCCACACTCCCATCCATACCCTCTTTATAAGCTTTTTTAAAGGACCACACGGTAAACTTATGTCACCTATAAAGACGGGGAAGGTCAAGGGGAAGTCATTATAACATATTTAGTAACTAATAGTTTATTTGAGGTCTACTCATAAATGTATAATGTTTGAAATGTTATTATGGTACATTCAATATCCAGGTACATAGATTGTAAAAAAATATTGTATTATTGAGTCAAATAAACTATCATCTGCTTGAAAGCTTTTGTTGGTTATTCAGTATAACACTTAATTTAAAGAAAATAGTAAGACACTGCTAAACTTCTTCAACAAGTCAACTTTAAAAATATCCATTACTGATAACTGTCTCTATAAACTACTACTGTGGATTCATTATTATTTGTTGGATACCAATTTTCATGGATTTTGTGGGTACACGGAAACCACGAATTTAAATATTCAACAAATTGCAAATTTGCTGTATGATTAAATGGAGACTTTTGGAAAACCACGAAATCAAATATCCACGAAAATGCAAGTTTTCCTCAATCCACGAAAATTGGTACCCACGAAAATAAATGAATCCACAGTATTATAAATACCTAATATAGCCAAAACACCAAGTTCATTTTGCACTGGGATAGTAAATATAATCATGCTAAAGAATATTCTTAGTACTATAAATGCACTACAAGTTGTTAATTTTAAGAATGCATGTCAGTACCTGTATTCAAATGTAAAAATATGTAGTTGTTTAACGTTTTTATGGTCAAGTGTTATTGTCAGTTAAAACCAAATGTTATCCATACTAATATCTACATAATGAAATAAAAATCTAATTATGACAATGTATACATTATGCATTTTCTATAAATGAGGTAAAAAAGCATGCATACAGTTATTAATTACAGATATTTTTGACAATTTTTTCTTCATAAGCTATGTGGCAGTGTAATGGTGTCTTTAAAATATCAAGATCTCAAAATATACAGTCATACAATGTCAGATAAAAATATAGGACATTATAAATGCTATGAGTCAAGTTCAAGTATGTCTCAACTTTTGTGTCTCTGATCAAGTAAACTTCACTGGATTTTGATGATTTCATACTAGAAATTAACCTTGAAAGTTCCTTAATGGTTCTGTAAGAAACATATTGTTGTGTTTGTTTACTACATGAAAATTCATTTCTATGGTTCACAAAGAACGATTTATAGATAGTAAATTTCAAAAATTTAACTTCTACACTCTTTACATCATCAATTATTTTTCTTTTATAGACTGCTGTCTAACATAAAATTGTGTGGTCTTCTAAATTTTCATAGTGGTCTCTGAGATGACAATATACTTATTATTTTCACAAAATAAAATTTATGACAACCTATGATTATACAACGTCAATGAAATTGCAATGGAGGTCACATGACTACAACATGGATGAATTGCAATGAAGGTCACATGACTATAACAGGTGGCATACTTAGATCACATGATATATCACAGAACAATACTGACAGATGTATTTTCGCCTATAATTGTCAGATGGAAGCACATATTATCACCATTCTAGCTGTCTCTACATTAAGTTTAACTGTACAAATATGGTTGTTTTCATCACTCCTCACACAGACAGTTGGTTTATACGATTGTTCAATTTTTTTCATCTATACATTTGTAATTTTATTTTGAAGGTTTGAAAAATAATTTTTATGAAAATAAAATATCTAGAGTGCACTTGTTTCTTCAATAAACAAATCAAAACCATTAATAAATGTATTGCTGACAAAAATATGAAGAAACCCAGTCGTAACTACCATACAACATCACATATTCTCAAAAAATAAAATTCACACATAGAAGTATCATACAGACTGGTTAACTCATTCGCCCCCAAGAGATTTTTGGAAAATCAGGCATTTTCGAAAATTTGCAATCATATGCAAATTATATGCAAATTAGCAGACTCTTGATGCTGTAACTGATGCTCATCTATTAAACTATGTATTGAGATTTGGGGGGCGGATGGCATGGGTGGGGGTGGGGTGGGAGGTGGAATATTTTCTCGTGGGTTTGAACCCACCCCCACTGAAAAATGTAAATTTTCCGTCTATTTTCCGATTTTTAAACGACCTTGAGAGGTGAACATTGACCAGACTGTTTTTCTTTGTCATTCAAGTATTACCCTATAGTTACAGCAGTCCATTCATGCTAACTGGGAGTATATTGGACTTAAGTGTCTTGCTGGGGAATTATTATTGTCAAGTCAGGTGTGCCTAAATGTCCGTTTTTACGGATTTTTGACAAAACGGTGACCTAGATTTTACAGACTAGATTCCTATTGGCCATATTATACCTCGTTGTGTTCCTTTACCACCTATGCATGCATTTATGATAATAGTTTATACCTACAGTCACTACCAGTTACGTAGTGGCCATCAAAAGATGCCCACCCCCACCTGATTTTGGCTACTTTTCACGTTTTTCCGATTTTGAACTCTTAAACGGCCTTCAAAGTGCCATATTTTCATGAACAGACATCTGAGAAGAGTTTATGGACCATGAACTGCTTGGTTGAAGTCCCTGCTATCATGACAGTTCAGCTGGGGCAGTTCAAAAAAGGTATGGAGGGTCATACGGGCCATCAAAGAATGGTTGTCGCCATCACGCCTACAGGCGGGATTGGGGGCTAAAGGGTTAAACGATTTGATCAAAATTTTTAAATTTGACTTCTGTTGGGTTTGAGGGTCGTTTTTGGGTGTAAAACTGACCAAAACACTCTTTAGAGGTTGAAAATCGGGAAAAAAATATTTTTAGTTTAACTCATTCGCCCCCAAGAGATTTTTGGAAAATCAGGCATTTTCGAAAATTTGCAATCATATGCAAATTATATGCAAATTAGCAGACTCTTGATGCTGTAACTGATGCTCATCTATTAAACTATGTATTGAGATTTGGGGGGCGGATGGCATGGGTGGGGGTGGGGTGGGAGGTGGAATATTTTCTCGTGGGTTTGAACCCACCCCCACTGAAAAATGTAAATTTTCCGTCTATTTTCCGATTTTTAAACGACCTTGAGAGGTGAACATTGACCAGACTGTTTTTCTTTGTCATTCAAGTATTACCCTATAGTTACAGCAGTCCATTCATGCTAACTGGGAGTATATTGGACTTAAGTGTCTTGCTGGGGAATTATTATTGTCAAGTCAGGTGTGCCTAAATGTCCGTTTTTACGGATTTTTGACAAAACGGTGACCTAGATTTTACAGACTAGATTCCTATTGGCCATATTATACCTCGTTGTGTTCCTTTACCACCTATGCATGCATTTATGATAATAGTTTATACCTACAGTCACTACCAGTTACGTAGTGGCCATCAAAAGATGCCCACCCCCACCTGATTTTGGCTACTTTTCACGTTTTTCCGATTTTGAACTCTTAAACGGCCTTCAAAGTGCCATATTTTCATGAACAGACATCTGAGAAGAGTTTATGGACCATGAACTGCTTGGTTGAAGTCCCTGCTATCATGACAGTTCAGCTGGGGCAGTTCAAAAAAGGTATGGAGGGTCATACGGGCCATCAAAGAATGGTTGTCGCCATCACGCCTACAGGCGGGATTGGGGGCTAAAGGGTTAAACGATTTGATCAAAATTTTTAAATTTGACTTCTGTTGGGTTTGAGGGTCGTTTTTAATGTAAAACTGACCAAAACACTCTTTAGAGGTTGAAAATCGGGAAAAAAATATTTTTAGTTTAACTCATTCGCCCCCAAGAGATTTTTGGAAAATCAGGCATTTTCGAAAATTTGCAATCATATGCAAATTATATGCAAATTAGCAGACTCTTGATGCTGTAACTGATGCTCATCTATTAAACTATGTATTGAGATTTGGGGGGCGGATGGCATGGGTGGGGGTGGGGTGGGAGGTGGAATATTTTCTCGTGGGTTTGAACCCACCCCCACTGAAAAATGTAAATTTTCCGTCTATTTTCCGATTTTTAAACGACCTTGAGAGGTGAACATTGACCAGACTGTTTTTCTTTGTCATTCAAGTATTACCCTATAGTTACAGCAGTCCATTCATGCTAACTGGGAGTATATTGGACTTAAGTGTCTTGCTGGGGAATTATTATTGTCAAGTCAGGTGTGCCTAAATGTCCGTTTTTACGGATTTTTGACAAAACGGTGACCTAGATTTTACAGACTAGATTCCTATTGGCCATATTATACCTCGTTGTGTTCCTTTACCACCTATGCATGCATTTATGATAATAGTTTATACCTACAGTCACTACCAGTTACGTAGTGGCCATCAAAAGATGCCCACCCCCACCTGATTTTGGCTACTTTTCACGTTTTTCCGATTTTGAACTCTTAAAAGGCCTTCAAAGTGCCATATTTTCATGAACAGACATCTGAGAAGAGTTTATGGACCATGAACTGCTTGGTTGAAGTCCCTGCTATCATGACAGTTCAGCTGGGGCAGTTCAAAAAAGGTATGGAGGGTCATACGGGCCATCAAAGAATGGTTGTCGCCATCACGCCTACAGGCGGGATTGGGGGCTAAAGGGTTAAACGATTTGATCAAAATTTTTAAATTTGACTTCTGTTGGGTTTGAGGGTCGTTTTTGGGTGTAAAACTGACCAAAACACTCTTTAGAGGTTGAAAATCGGGAAAAAAATATTTTTAGTTTAACTCATTCAAAAAAGGTATGGAGGGTCATACGGGCCATCAAAGAATGGTTGTCGCCATCACGCCTACAGGCGGGATTGGGGGCTAAAGGGTTAATAAACTATACTATAATATTTTGTTTTTGTTGTTTCTGTTTTTCATATATTTTTGTTAGGGAATTGACAAATTTGTTCAATACACTCAGTCAAATTTATAAGTTTACATTACAGATTAAATAAAACAAATGGATCTGATGTTCATCTCCTTTTGAAATATGTCTTAAATAAGAAGTTATTTGATGTCAACCTTTTTTTAACCAAAAGCAAATACTTCATTTCTGAATTCTAATGCAATCTTTATGTAACAACTTTTTTCATTGGCCAAAATTGATCGTCAACTTCACAATTAACATGTCTTAGGCATGCATTTTGAATTGCTGGAATTCTCAAATGTTCAATTAATATAAAATAATCAAAAATAAAACATAAGCTACCTCAAAAATGTTGTTCCAATGGAACTTTATCCAAATTTAAATCATACAAGAACATTACATGTGACCTTGAAAAAAAGTAAGAAGTCTCAGTCCAATAATAATGTTGACGATTTCATCATGAAAGATTTACAATAAACGAGATAACAGAATATAATATACAAGTTAATATCAAGTAAATACACAGGCCTGCATGTATAACTAAACAAATTAATATACCAAACCAGGTATTTGTCGTAGAAGATGACAATTACATTCTTACATGAAGTCAAACAGATTAAGGAAGTAATTTTATGGATGTTTCATCCAACTTTATCAAGATTACCCTCTTATGACAGTCCCTTGGAGCTATATAAAAAGTCTTACTCCTTAACCTCACATACTACAATGTATTTTATTACTAAATTTCGGTACACTCGCAAATTTCTATGTAAAATCAAACTATCATCATGATGACAATGTGTTATTGTATAATCAATTTTCTAACATTGTGTTTAAATTTTATTCTGCTGCAACAATCTTGAATTTTATTTCAAACATTACCCAATACCATGTACTTTCCAAATTATTGATGTAAACACAAAGTACTGGAACAGAAAAGTCAAAGGAGCATGTAGAAGCTATTTCACAACCATGAAGTTTTCAGTATGAAACTATTAAAATTTTTAATATTGAAATTTGAATATAAAAATACTGAATCGTGTAGTTTTCTATAGACTTTCTTTTTGTTAAGACATTCCACAAATTTCTTATTTCTGATGGATCACATATTTTTCCTATTTCTAGTTCTTACAGGCCAAAGTGATTCCCATCTTGAGATGACAATAATGTTCTTGAATGTTAACAAATGACACCCAAATAGATGAATACATGCTAATACCTAAAATGGTCCTCTATTCAGGTGAAGTAAAAGCACTAAGTTTAAATATACACTGTATACTGATACAGCACTATAATAATTGTGGCACTAAATATGTACTATTTACAAAACAGACTGACACAATAAAACATATGTTAACCATGCTACATCCTGTTTTTTTATTAGTTTTGAAAACAATTGAAATATTTTGCTTATCAGGGGCTTGTTTCACTCTCCTTTTGAAGCTATCTTGGTGTTCTTTAATTTGTTGTTTTAGAACTTCTGTACATATGTTCTATAAGAAGAAAAACAGTTCCACCTATCCATTTTCATATTTTCAAAATAAAAGATTTTTTTTTGTTCTATGAACTCTTACCATTAGTGGGAAAGAAATTTTCATGGGTTTCCCTTTTTTTTTATATACCAGAATCATTTAAAATTTTTGTACTCTGAAAAAACAATTAAATCAATAACTCTTTCACTATCAAATTTTCAACCATTACAAAAACTAGTCAACAATTCTAAAGAACTTTCACAGGATTATACAATAAAGCTATTTCACAAACATTGACATGACTGCATACATGTATTAACACTTGCATTAATTGTGCTATTATGATAATTTTCATACATTTTCATACATTTTCACATTTTTCTACAAAGCTTCCAGGAAAAAGTCCAGTTTTTCCCAGTCGTTGGAGAGTTCCTTTGTACCATCCATCTTCCCGTTTTTTGTGAACATAAACTACATCCCCCACTTTAAGTTCTAGTTCAACATCACTTTGTGGTGGATAAGGAACAACACATCTATATCTGTAAAAGAGATTGTACAATATGTATATCTAATATTAAAAGCAGAAAGATAAAGCCAAATATACTTTAAATGATAAAATGATAATTGTAATACTGAATGTTTTATTAGTTTCACCTCAGGTTTTGTTGTGATTTGAGTCTCAGAAGGGGCAGTTATATCGTCACACAGTTCATGGCCAGTACAATGTATTTATATGGACAGTGAAATTTTCACGTAGCGTCAGTTTCACAGTAAAATGCATACCACTACTTGTTCATCTTAAACTGACCTAATCACCAGTTTGAAAATTGTTGCATCTGGAAACAGTAAGACAGTGTCTCCCCTCTAACAGACTGGTCCAGGTGACAATTACAAAAGAGAATGACACTGATAAACAAGAAATGATTGTAACAGGATGCTGTTACGAAGTCTCCCAAACGAAGCTCCCATAATTTGTAATTCCCAGGGTCGCCTGACATTGGGCAAAGTCCAGTGAAAATTGGTTTGGTCCAGTAAAGTTATATGCATTAGTGATGCCTGGGGACTAACCCTGTATATCATTCAAATCATCTTGGCATGACAAACCAGAATATATATGGTTTAGGGGTGGGGATCTCGACCATTTACAAGATATTAGAACTTTCTCAAATGGCAGGGGGTTGGGATGACCCCTGGGGACTAACCCTGTATATCATTCTAACCATCTTAGCATGACAAACCAGAATATATATGGTTTAGGGGTGGGGATCTTGACCACTTACAAGATATTAGAACTTTCTTAAATGGCATGGGGTGGGGGTGACCCCTGGGGACTAACTCTGTATTTCATTTCATGTGCTTTATCATGACAAACCAGAATATATATGGTTTAGGGGTGGGGATCTCGACCATTTACAAGATATTAGAACTTTTTCAAATGGCAGGGGGTGGGGATGACCCCTGGGGACTAACCCTGTATATCATTCAAACCATCTTAGCATGACAAACCAGAATATATATGGTTAAGGGGTTGGGATCTTGACCACTTACAAGATATTAGAACTTTCTTAAATGGCATAGGGTGGGGGTGACCCCTGGGGACTAACCCTGTATTTTATTTCATTTGCTTTATCATGACAAACCAAAATATATATGGTTTAGGGGTGGGGATCTCGACCATTTACAAGATATTAGAACTTTCTCAAATGGCAGGGGGTCGGGATGACCCCTGGGGACTAACCCTGTATATCATTCAAACCATCTTAGCATGACAAACCAGAATATATATGGTTTAGGGGTGGGGATCTCGACCATTTACAAGATATTAGAACTTTCTCAAATGGCAGGGGGTCGGGATGACCCCTGGGGACTAACCCTGTATATCATTCAAACCATCTTAGCATGACAAACCAGAATATATATGGTTTAGGGGTGGGGATCTTGACCACTTACAAGGTATTAGAACTTTCTTAAATGGCAGGGGGTGGGGATGACCCCTTGGGACTAACCCTGTATTTCATTTTAATGGGTTTTATCATTTAGAACATTTTCAATTAAAAAGATTGTGTCTATCACAAACGATTTTCAATTTATAATCATTTGAAAATTAAAAAAAATAAAATCCCATAGGGTTCTATAGTAAAACCCTCTTTTCTTTTTGCCCCTCAAAGTACCCCTTTATAAACCCCATTGCACAAACAAAACCCTGATTGCACCACTAGACATGTTAGTCTAACATATTGTGAAACCCTAAGTTAATCTGACAAGCGGTTTTGGAGAACGAGTGCGGACAAGTTCAAATTTAAAAGCGGCGGAAGAGGAAGAGGAAGAGGAAGAAGAATAATAATAATAATAAGAACTGAGCAAAAACAATAAGTCTTCCCAAACTTCGTTTGGGAGACTTAATAATTAAACCATGAAAATGAGGCTTAGGTAAGGTGAAACCTGTTTGATCAGCTTTGTCAAATCAAATGCAAGCAGAGAATTTCATATAGAACAAAAGGTATACCCTTGACCATCAGACCTATACATAAAAACTTTTAAGTCAAGGTTTTGACCAAGGGTCCTAAATCTGTTTTGCATGATTTCGGTCATTTATTGAGAATTTGAAAACAGGGTAATTTAAGGATACCATGAAAACGACAGAACCAAGTTAGTACTAATGCATAATATTTAGTGTTGTCAACGATTAACTGTCAGAAAGACCAAATATCGGTTAATCGGATCTTTTTTCAATTTTAATACATTTCATATAAATGTGTATTGAAATCATTTATAAATGTTGTTGAACTTTTAAATGATTGTCATGGTAATTAATTTGAGAGATCAATTGTCCAGTATATTGATTGCTAAGTCATTAGCTGATCCTATAATGATGGTGAAAGGATTTTTTATTAAATAATAAATTCCTTATCAATTTGAGATATATTTTGTAGTGTGAAGAGTGGATCTTATAAAAATTACAAAATAATTCATTATTTTCAAAAAAGATAAATAAGGTTAAACACTAGAAATATTGTTAATTTCTTTGAAATTTTCTAAAACTGATATTAGTTGCAACACAATAAGCAACAGTAGATAAATGTGCACAACGGTAAGGGGGAAAAAAACTACATCATAGTATTATGATTTCATTTCAAACCTAATCCCAAGTGTGACTGGGGTATAGAAATATGGTCATCTCGTGGTATTCTTCAATCCACCAGTAAAACCCTTGCAAAAGTTGGGCTTCTGTTAAGCTGTGCAGAATGTATAAATTCACAGTCACAAACAGTCAGAATGTCTTGTATAGGGAGAGTGGTACACTCACTCTTTGAGTGGTCTGTAGGTGACCTGTTTCAAGGTTATATGTCTGTCCCTATCTAACATACTCTCTATCCCAGTCAATATTCAAAATTTCCTGCAATTCATCTGGTCAACCCCTATTTGAGGACCTACTTATTGTATATATTGTTAACTTGTTTTTGTCCACTGGACGTTAAGCAAACAACAATCAATCAATCTTTTCTAACCTTGGTTGAATATCTGTAATTCAGGCCAAAATGACAAATTTACAACTTATTGTGAGTTGGCTTTCCTTCTGCATTTGAATGATTGATTGATTGGTGTTGAATGTCACTTTCAGCACTACAGTACTATTTTAGTGGCAGTCAGTTTTTATTAATAGTTGAAGCTGGAGTGCCTGAAGAGAACCAAGACCTTTTGTAGGAAAACTGACAATCCTAGTCAATTAAGATTGGAGTCCAGCTCACCTGCAAAGTGTGCGATTCGAACTCACAACCTCAGTGTTGACAAGCTAGAGATACAGTAGTTCGACTAATTAGATCACTTGGTCCCTGAGGCCCCTTGTGCATTTGAAATAAATAAATAAATAATAAGTATGTGATAAAACTCTAAACTAGAGGCTCTAAAGAGCCTGTGTCGCTCACCTTGGTCTATGTGCATATTAAACAAAGGACACAGATGGATTCATAACCAAAATTGTGTTTTGGTGATGGTGATGTGTTTGTAGATCTTACTTTACTTTACATTCTTGCTGCTTACAATTATCTCTATCTATAATGAACTTGGCCCAGTAGTTACAGTGGAAAATATTTTGTAAAAATTTACAAAAATTTACAAAATTTATGAAAATTGTAAAAAATTGACTATAAAGGGCAATAACTCCTTAAGGGGTCAATTGACAATTTTGGTCATGTTGACTTATTTGTAGATCTTACTTTGCTGTACATTATTGCTGTTTACAGTTTATCTCTATCTATAATAATACTCAAGATAATAACCAAAAGCTGCAAAATTTTCTTTAAATTACCAATTTAGGGGCAGCAACCCAACAACGTGTTGCCTGATTGGTCTGAAAATTTCAGGGCAGATAGATCTTGACCTAATGAACAATTTTATCCTCGTCAGATTTGCTCTAAATGCTTTGGTTTCAGAGATATGAGCCAAAAACTGCATTTTACCCTATGTACTATTTTTTAGCCATGTCGGCCATCTTGGTTCGCGGCCGGGTCATCGGACACATTTTTCAAACTAGATAACCTAATGATGATTGTGGACAAGTTTGGTTAAATTTGTCTTAGTAGTTTCAGAGGAGAAGATTCTTGTAAAAGATTACAAAAATTTACGAAAAATGGTTAAAAATTGACTATAAAGGGCAATAACTCCTTAAGGGGTCAACTGATCATTTTGGTCAAGTTGACTTATTTGTAGATCTTACTTTGCTGAACATTGTTGCTGTTAATAGTTTATCTCTATCTATAATAATATTCAAGATAATAACCAAAAACAGCAAAATTTCCTTAAAATTACCAATTCAGGGGCAGCAACCCAACAACGGGTTGTCCGATTCATCTGAAAATTTCAGGGCAGATAGATCTTGACCTGATAAACAATTTTACCCCGTCAGATTTGCTCTAAATGCTTTGGTTTAAGAGATATAAGCCAAAATCTACATTTTACCCCTATGTTCTATTTTTAGCCATGGCGGCCATCTTGGTTGGTTGGCCGGGTCACCGGACATTTTTTAAACTAGATACCCTAATGATGATTGTGGACAAGTTTGGTTTAATTTGGCCAAGTAGTTTCAGAGGAGAAGATTTTTGTAAAAGTTAACGACGGACGACGGACGCCAAGTGATGAGAAAAGCTCACTTGGCCCTTTGGGCCAGGTGAGCTAATAAAAAGGTTTCTAAAAATATGTTCCCCTAGTGGTCCCTTCAATTCAAATTTTGTTGTCTTTTAATATGACATCATCAAAAACTGGTAATTAAATGTCCATTCAGCTATCTTCACTGAAACCCTTATTGACTCACTTATGTTCATATAAATAAAGCAGAAAAATGTATTTTAGTGTTTTCAAAATGTCCATTTTGTCTTACAGCTCTACTTACTTTTCTCTAACTACAGGTTTTGGTCTACTTATTTTTTGCTGAGGTACAAGAGGAACTGTAGAATCAAAGGAACCAGTTTTCATATGCTGACTTCCCTCTGCTCCAAGCAGACTATTACTATCTGCTGGACAAGACCCAGATCTGAAACAAACAGAGATGCATCTAAATAATCTTATTTTAACTAAACTAGAACTATCCACTAAGGTGGACTAATTCTTCTCTTACTTACTTTACCAGTTTTGACATGATTCCAAGAGTTTACTGTGACCTTTACTTAACAGTTATGACCTTGAAGGGAATATATTACATGTATCTTAAAAGCCTGGTAAAAGATATGGTTTGGAATTGTTTTGTAAGATTTATAAAATTTAAATGTAACCATGACCTTCTACATATTGACTTTAAAACACATCCTTGGACCATGGGTACCAATTAAGTCAAGTTTTATGGAGATAATGCAGGCATTACAAAAATTTTACCAAAACATAATTTTAATATATGCATTAGCTGTGATCTTAAAAAACTACATGAAATATTCTAGTATATCTAAGCTAGACATTTACCTGACATGATTCCCAATACTTTCTGTGCCAGACCCATCACTTTCAAGTCCAGGGGATTTTGATTTCTTGCTCTTACCAGAGGTCAGTCTTTTTACCAGACTCAATTTCTCCTTTTCTTTCTTGTCCTTCTATTCATACAAAAAAATAAAAATATTTATACAAAAAACAGTGAAAAGAAGGGCTGTATATATATACAATGGCTTCCTGCATCTAAAAATAACCAAACAAAATATCATGATGGAGCATTCTGGTATTTAAACAAAATAATTGCATTCAAACTGTATTTTTAATAAGAATGAATATTGTTAACCAACGCAGAATAACCTTGACTGCTGAATTTAATTTCCTAGACTGAACAATGCCAGTTGTTTCCTATACAGGAAAAAAACTGAACTGCACAACATTTAGAGAATATTTTTTTTCACCAATAATGCAATTTAATTATTCAGCTCAACTAATAAATAATTAAAAGCTGATATAATACTTTACTTGGTCATATTAAATTGCATATTGAAAGAGTTTCAGACTGAGACGGTCTTTTTGATCCTTTCCTATCATACAAGGTTCTCTCATGAAGTAGCATCAACATATGAAGCTACAGCAAAAAGACAGTTAAGAAAATATAAGTATTTATTAAGAAGTCCATCAAGTTACTTTCACCGAAACTTACACTTATATAATACAAAGTATGACATACAAACCTTATTATCCTTGATCCCAGGTATTTCACCTGTGGCTCCTGCCACAATATTAGGTGGTGTGATGTTCGAAGAAGCAGACATTACTTGTGGCATTCCAACAGCATTAGGCTTTCTGTAAACAACTTGTTTTGAGCTAGACGTACGATGATTGGAATGTCCTGAGGTCACACTAAGGTCAAGATGACCTTCCATACCTACTGATGGGCCATTGTGATTTGCATGGCGGTGTGGGGATTTCGCTTTTGTTCCACTGCTATCTGCTGGCTTTAGTGATGATGATGATGATGTTCTACTGGACGCTGATCTAGGTGAAGATGGTCCAGAATTTGTTAGTTTTGTAGCTGATGATTTGTTACTCGCTGATGAATGAGAAGAGGTTTTACTGTTAGCTGCTGATCGTGATGGTGCTGATGATGAAAGTTTTGCTAATGATTTTGAGCTTCTTGGTGTAATGGGAGGGGGACCAGAAGATGACTCTGCTTGCTGTGATGATGAATTCTGAAGTGATGGTGAAGACCCTGGCCTGATTGGTGATGTACTTGATCTGTGACCAGATGAAGTTGTCATAGTTACAGCAGGTGCTGATGAAGATGATGGTAGAGAATGGATTCCTTTTGAATGAATGTTCATCACATTACCACTGACTGGAAGAAATGCACTTGGTAACCTGAAAGAGTTCAAAGTTCAAATGAAGATGATGGATTTATATTTAAATTTTCAATTATTTCAGATAAAATGCAATACCTTTAAAATCCTAAGCACTTATTGAACATGAATAAGCTAGCAAGAATCTCTTATCAGATTTCCTTGAACCACATGTCTTAATTTGGTGAGTCAAATAAGAAAATCAACAACTTTGCTCTCTAACATGGAGGCCAAGGAAAATAATTCCAACTCAAATTACACCATATTGAAAACTATCTATACTTCCAACTGTATATCAATCTAAGTTGATACTATGAAATACTCTAAAGTCTAATATACACTACCTGACCATTTGTACATAATTGCCAGGGAAAACACCAGGTTTTCCTGTCTTTAAACACTGCCCTCTATACCATCCATCTTGACATTTATCACATACAGTGTAATAATCTCCCTTCCTCAGTTCTATTTCATCCTCTCGGTGAGGTTTATAATTAAATAATGCTGTATATCTACAAAATTTAATTAAAAAAATTAGATCAAAGCAACTCTTGATATCACCGTACTATCACACTTAGCTATTAACATGTATGTTCTAGCTTTAAAAAGAAAAAGAAAAAGTCTATGCAAAGACATGCAACCCCTTGTGAGCAAACTAATATTTCTTAAATGCAGCATGCAGATAAACAGCAAAAAAACACAATTTGAAAGTGTTTATAAAAACAAGATGTGGTATGAATACCAATAAGACGGTGACCACAGGACAAGGATGTCAGACATTCATATGTTGAACCCAAACCTCCTATACTTCAGGCAAGCAAGCTACCACAAGATCATAGGCCTGATTAGGGAGTCTTCCCAACTAACAAAATGCCCTGTAAAAATCTTTCATATTTAATATTTTTTGGTACATTGTAGAATATATTTATACGAATACTTACACAGGACTATTAATACCAGAAATTTTAGAGGCATCTACTATTGCTGGTCCTGTCTGTGGTTCCATTGAATTGTCAAATTTTCTTGAAGTTCCTGGTTCCTGAAAGAATTTATATGTTTATTTTAATAAGACATGGTAATTTTTTGGGCTTATTTGGCCCTAAAAATTCCCTAAAAACAAACCATTGTGTGATGTCCTTACAATTCACATTTTTTCAGCAACAGAAAAAAAGTTTTCCGAAGATGTAAATATTAGCTTATAAACTTGTTAGCCAATGCTCCGTGTTGAAGGCCGTACCTTGACCTATAATGGTTTACTTTTATTAATTGTTACTTGGATGGAGAGTTGTCTCATTGGCACTCATACCACATCTTCCTATATCTATTAACAGAGATTATCACAGATGCATACAGAGCAAAATCTTTAGAATAAATAATCTTTTTATCTAATCACTGTACATTTTTTGTAGGTGTTCCGATATTGGTTGACAGAAATAAGCTTCTACGAGATAATTTAACCTACTGTGGATTCGTTTATCGTGGATTGAGGAAAAATTACATATTTGTTGATACTTGATTTCCTGGTTTTGCCATAGCCTGCATACAAGCCCATAGAAAATTTTGTACTTCATTTTACCTTTAAATTTGTATTTCCCTATACCCACGTGCACGAAATCCATAAAAATTGGTATCCCACGAATAATAATGAGTCCACAGTATTGACTATGGATGTTTTCAATATGTATTTAAAATATGAACTTTTTTTTACCTATATTATCATTGAAAATTATAGAAAGAAATGATAAAACATTCATTACAGTGGTGACATGGTGTGGTGACAAAAAAATATACAGACTGGTTGTATGATTTGAAAGCCATGTCATTAGGTTTATAACTATGGAGAAGACTCCATAAGTATGATTTACTTGTGTCTCATCCATCTAGCTTTAATTTAGCAAATAAAATATGTTTAAACTAAGTTAGAAATAAGAAAGTTTCTATCAAGCATTCTATATTTTAAACTTATATGGATTTTGTATGCATAATGCCCAACAGTACTTTTATTCCAGATTTGTTATATCATACCAAAATATATACCTGAAATGCTGAATTAAGTTTACTTCCTGTAGCAGATGAAGTTTTGCTAGCTGTTAATGATGAGTTTCTACTGGCCACAGAAGATTTGCTAGCTAAAACTGAGGTGGTTTTATTAGCTGAGGTAGCTGACTGACTATTATGGGATGGTACTGGCGGAGGTGAACGTGACCTGCTTGGAAGGTGAGGAGATGGTACAATTACCAAATTCCCACTGCTGCTTAACTCTAGAGATCTGAAATTAAAGTAAACGTTTCAAAATGGTCTTTAATATGTGAAGTAAAGGTCTAATGAAACCATTTTTAAGGGACATAACCTTGTTATACATGGTAAGCAGTGTATGTCATAGTAAGCAATAACTTTCCAAAAAATAGAAAGAAATGGCTCATGGAAAACAGAAGTCATGGTAGAGGACAGTACTCATATACTGTAAATTCAGAAATTATTGCAATGTTTTTATTTTTGCGAAAAATGCAACAGGGTTATAATCGCAATAATTAAAACTCGCATTTTGAAATTTTTTATATTAATTAAACAGGATTTTTCTCAATATCGCAAAAATCAAAATCGCATTTTAGTCTAAAATGACAAATCACAATAATAAATGCACGCAATAATTTCTGAATTTACAGTAATGAAAAATCTCATTTTAATGGATAGAAAACACCTGCCATGCTAAAAGTCTCAACTGCAAATGATAATTGCTACTGATGCCTCTCTCTTATTCTCTCCCCTCCCTTTCATTAAAATTAATAAAGATGAAGGATTTTGATATAGCAAAGTAAAGTGATCATCTGGAAACCACTGATCTGGCTGATTTGTAACCAAAGGAGCAGTGATGCTGAGAAACTTACTTGACAGACATTTAATGGTGATGAGTTATTTTTTACAATATGATGGCTTATATTAATTAAAATGGAATCTTTCAGTAATAAACAAATAATCTTTTCTATTTTTGCTTGTTTTCAAGAGGCATAACTCCTAAAAGTTAATATTTACTAAATCATTATTAAAAGGTTTTTTTTTCATGGGAGAAATGTCTTAAAACTTTTAGTCTGTTTAATAAAATACATTTCTCTGATGACAGTAAATATAAAAATAAATAAACATACATAATACTGCAGGCAGTACAAACTAAAACACAATCAATAAAAGATGCTCATAAAAGGGAAATAACTCACACTTAAACACATGCTTTAGAGAAATTAAATTCAACAATGTTAGCTTGAATGTTTTGCACCATACAGTATTCAACCTGGTACCAAGTCAGTGTAATTTCTGTTTTACTTTTTGTTGAGAGAAAAATGTATTAATTGTCAGCATCAAATTATACATTATTTTTTTTCTATTTATAGAATGTCAACATGTGTTTTTGTAAAACCATGCACTTATATTTTCCAGGGCAAAATTGCCTTACAATCAACAACCTTAAAATCAATTAATAATATTAAACAGAGTCACCAAAGGATGAATTAAAATAGGGGAAAGAGGTCTAAGAATAACAATAAGTGTAAGAAATAGCTGCCACAGGTAACATGGATTATGAAGCTGGAAAAAGAGGGATGATAAAAAATAAGGCACTGTATTTTACTTCTATTTTCAATGGTAATTAAATAAAAACACTGTCAACAATCATTACCTTCTACTATGCTCACAAGCTGTTGTGGATGATTTCTAAGGAAATCAAATAAAAGCATACATTATCAACAACCATTACCTTCTATTATGCTGACTAGCTGCCGTGGATGTTTTCTGAGGAGATGCTGTAAATGAATGCCGCTTCTGTTGTGGGATTTGAGTAACCAAAGAAGAAAGGGGAGAGGAATGTGGCACTCCATCCCCAGAACCTCGATCATGCAAAATTAAATTACCACCATGCAAGGAAGGACTGAAAACGAATGTTAAAAACAGAAAATCTTAAAACCTATATATATAGCTAGAAAAGAAAATAGAAACAAACATACAAAGAATAATATTATACAACACTTAATATGTACTGTTAACATCAATTTTACTGATGGAGACCAGCTTTCATGGAAAGTAACACCAGTAAAACCACAAAAATGAACTGGAGATATGCAAATCTCTTGTCTCAAAGCTAAAGTGTTAACACTTACTTAAAATTACATATTTTTGTAATTTAATATCTTAAAAAAAATGATATTTGCTTTTGTTTTTAATCATGGTTGTTTTAATGTCAGAAATTTCAAACTGATATCAAGTATGCATAAGAACCATCATGTCATGCAATGCTTGTGCATAGATCAATTAGATTTCTTGATGAAGATACTTCAAAATTTCAACTTATCCCATAGCTTTTTAAGAATGCAGTAGCATTTTCCAAACATGTGTCTTCAACTTTTTATTACCAATAAGACCATAAAAACTGATATCCAATAATTCAACATTAAATACTATGTTCTATACAGAAATACAATGTTTATCATGTAAAGTCAACTCCTCAAACTCATCTCCATTAATATATGTCACAAAAAACAAATTTGTAAAAGATTTCTATGCTTGCAAATAAGTTTATTCAAACAGTAACCCAATTACAAATGAATAAAAAAGTTAACACATCAAAATTTATTCAACATTTACTATTCTATATCAAATCTTTTTTTGTAAAAAGTATTTTGTGGATAACCAATGTCTACCAGTTTGGGTACTGAAAAAAAAGAATACAAAATTTGGAATCAATGAAGTTGACTATACACAGTATTCATATTTCATGAATATCTGGATTTTATTCCATTATAGAGGAGCATCAAATATTATATCTGTTTGAAAATCATGGTATATGTTACTTTATTACTGATGTTAAAAGAGCCCTCATAGTAATGTTAGTAACTTTAACTTTGACAATGATTTACAATGAGTTCAAACAAAGCTGATTGGTTTTTTCACACAATAATTTTCTTTTGTCGTTCCTATGAATTGCTCGTTCCACATATGACAGTCGTCAGAGATTAAATTTCTACAGTTGTATTTGTGAGCATTAGATACAAAACATTTTAAAGACTAAGAATATCTAAAAATTTTGATATGCTTTTTCATCAAGTGTTTGTTTTCTATGAATAAAATTTCAAAATAACAAACTCAACCTGTTGTGAAAGGTTATCTTGTACATTTATTCAAGAAACAATCAACTCTGTTTAACTTTTTCATTGATATCTACAAACTAACAGCCCCATAGACTTTACCAATGATATCTACATACTTACAGCCCCACAGACTTTAACAACGATGTCTACATACTAACAGCCCTATAGACTTTAACAACGATGTCTACATAAACAGTCCCATACACTTTAACAACGATGTCTACATACTAACAGCCCCATAGACTTTAACAACGATGTCTACATACTAACAGCCCCATGGACTTTACTAACGATGTCTACATAAGCAGTCCCATAGACTTTAACAACGATGTCTACATACTAACAGCCCCATAGTCTTTAACAACGATGTCTACATACTAACAGCCCATAGACTTTAACAACGATGTCTACATACTAACAGCCCCATAGACTTTACTAACGATGTCTACATAAGCAGTCCCATAGACTTTAACAACGATGTCTACATACTAACAGCCCCATGGACTTAAACAACGATGTCTACATACTAACAGCCCCATAGACTTTAACAATGATGTCTACATACTAACAGCCCCATAGACTTTAACAATGATGTCTACATACTAACAGCCCCACAGACTTTAACAACAATGTCTAAATACTAACAGCCCCACAGACTTTAACAATGATGTCTACATACTAACAGCCCCACAGACTTTAACAACGATATCTACATACTAACAGCCCCACAGACTTTAACAACAATGTCTACATACTAACAGCCCCACAGCCTTTAACAATGATGTCTACATACTAACAGCCCCACAGACTTTAACAACGATGTCTACATACTAACAGCCCCACAGACTTTAACAACGATGTCTACATACTAACAGCCCCACAGACTTTAACAACGATGTCTACATACTAACAGCCCCACAGACTTTAACAAAGATGTCTACATACTAACATCCCCAAAGACTTTAACAACGATGTCTACCTACTTACAGCCCCACAGACTTTAACAACAATATCTACTTACTAATAGCCCAATAGACATACTTACTTTGATTGAGAATTAATTAAAGACCTTGCAGCATCATTCATCTGAAATTAGACAAAACTGATCTACATTCCTAAAAACTTTAAAAGATTAATGACATACAGAAAACATTATCAATGTTTTATTTACATTATAAGCTTCTATCAACTTGCTTAATAGTGAGTTGATAATAAGGTGTTTCATTTACACATAAATGATAACCATGTGTGATGTTTGTATAAATATATTGTAGAAGATGAAAAAAATCCAAAGTGATTCTGATAATAAAAAAAGTGTAGTGCTTATTTTAAGTTAGCATGTCTGTCAAAGAAATTGAAAAATAAATAACAGGTACTTCTTAAAATGTTTCACAGCTACACATGTACAGTCATTCAAGTCTCTAGTTATATAGAGAACTCTTTAGTGCAAATCTTTCTCATTCTTACATTTGGGACAGCACTTAAGAAAATTGATGAGATTAGAACCTTATACTTACCTCAACAAAGGATACAGGAAATATCCCAATCTTTTCACCTTTCCTACCCTCCAACCAATTATCATCCACTTTCTTTAATACAGTTATGGTTTCATCCTGTCATGAACAAGAAATGAATATCAAGAAATATTGAATTTAAAGAGTAATTTGCTCTATTTGCCTAAAATTTTTAAACAGGCAATTTGAAAACTGACCAGTAATTAACAGGATTTGACTCATGATATATAGTTTGACAAAAATGTATATGCCAAATGATGAAGATCAATATTTTTGGTAATTCCTGCTGATCTTTTTATATAAATGAATCGATGTGGATCTTCAAGCAACTGTCAATATGAAAAATTACAATAAAAATATGATTGTGTCTGGTGGTCATTATTTTGACCATCTGTTTGGGCATGTGTATGGTATTAAACTTAGTTAATTCTTTTCATTTGTCTATACATCATAAGTACCTTAAAAGAGGGCATCATATCAAATATTTTTCAAGGCAGCATAATTGTCATGTTATCATAGAGCACCTCACTGTAAGTTCAAATTGACCCTAACTTTTTTCTTTAATATATTTCATCCGTATCATTTATATGCACCTTTCTTCAATTGTATGGAACTAAAAAAAAAGTCAAACCTGCCTTAACAGTCACCTCGTTTCAACTGTTAACTGCCTCTAACGGTCACTTTCAGACCCTCCCAAACGTTTTCTCTATACAATTTAACTCATTTCAGCGGTCACCTTATGTTCGAACGAAATCGTCATTTTAGCTTTTAATAAGTCATTTCAGTGTTTTATACTACCAAAAATCTTCCTGATGAAAAATATATATTGTCAATATCGAAGTCAAAATGAAAATCGATACCTGTTTGCAAACAAGATCACTCAATAGTAGGTGAAATCAAAATTCTTCCTCTCATTTCAGTTTCAATTGAAAACAGTATCAGCAACTTATTTCCCCACCAATATTTACATATTTCCACATTTTCTTCAAATTTACAGCCCCATTATCCACCATTTTTTATTTCACTGCTAGGGAGTACAATAACTTTACTGATTGAAAACACTAAAACAATTTGACCCTTTCCCAGCCACAGGTGATGTCGGAGTCAGAATTTTTTGGAATCTTGTTTCAAAGGTCACCTCTCTTGCGTGGTCACTTTTGATACTTCCCACGAGTGACTGCTTAATACAGATTTGACTGTACCACCTTTTCCACAGTGGTGAAGGCACATTTAACATTGAAATAATCACCTTCTTAAAGAAAAGACAATCTTTCTTATCACTTTCATCTTTCATTTCAAAGTCATATAAAGTCTTGCATTGTGGAACATTAGATGTGAGTTGTACAAGGACCTGCAAAGTAAATATAACACATAGTACATGTATGTCAACCAGGCAAGGTTTCCAGTACGTCAGACAATCAATGTTTCTTTTATGTCTTTTCCTTTTATATTCATCTTTATCTATGTTTTTGTAAATATTGATAACCTTTTGCTGATTATTTCTGTAATTTCCATATAGTAAATGTTTTGACAACATTAAACATATCTTCTCTAAAATGTGTCAATGCACACATCTATATACAAATGTACATGTAGCAATTATCAAGTCTACCAATTAAAATCACAATAAAAAAAAATAGTGAGATGTGGTATGATTGCAAATGAGACAGCTATCCACAAAAGTACTGAATTTAGGTATGTTTTGGGAATTTGATAATCTATTTTCTTTCAATCTCATACACAATATTTTTGAGTCAATATACCTGAACATATGAAGCAGGAAAGAACCCATGGTGTGAGTTGAATTCTCCATGATACCAATTATCATCAACCTGTTTCTTTAGAATAATAATATCACCTTTCCTGAATGACAAATCACTAAAAAGAACAAAAGATAAAATGTAAAAGACAAAGGACTCGTCTAAATTTGATTTAATTGATAAATTCAACAACACTTACCGTTATCTTGATGATATTTTTTCGTTCAATAATAAAAAATTCTCTAAATATACTGCTGAAATTTACCCAAAGGAAGTTACTTTAAATAAATCATATATTAACAACAATAACTGTCCTTTCCTAGATTAAGATGTTTCAGTTTTACACCAGAAACTGTACACAAAAATTTACGACAAAAGCTATGATTTTTCTTTTTTGGACATAGATGTTCCTTTGGCACCATCTTGCGGTGTTTATATATCCCAACTCATTCGCTACACCTGTGTCTGTAGTGACATTTTGGAATTCAATTAGCGTAATCTATGTATTACTGGTAAATTACTAAGCCAGGGATTTTGTTACCACAAATAACTTAAAACCTTTTCTAAATTCTTCCATTGATACAAAGATTTGGTTTGCAAGTTTGACTGTACCTATAGAAAACTTATTTCAAACGGAATAGCACATCCTAAATTTTACGGTGCTGTTTTTTTACCGAGCCTGGAAATTTATATACTATCCGGGGAAACTTATCAATGATTTAAATAAACTTATTCTAAAGGATTACCAATTCGGTATAAATATTGATTTTGTTATCAGTAATTAAACCCATACTAAATATTATTGTTACACATATGCACTTTCATGGCTCTACAATCTGGCGATACCTATATTTTGGCATTGCACAAGGTCATGTTTTACTCTTAATGAAATCTTTACACTAAATCCATTGGATGTTGGATTTATGCTGATTGATATTTAAGTCTTAGATACATGGTTATTTTTATAAGTTGTTATTGGCTTTGAACTAGCTGTCAGTAACTGTGAGTACTCTCAAATCTGTACTTTGTGTCTTTATTGTTGTTAGGGATGTATAAATACCCTACCATGTCAGGTCTGTGTTTTTGTTAGTTGTTTTTCTTCTTTGTATCGATCTGATGAGTTAAGCCTTTTTCAATTGATTTTTATAGTTTGTTCTTATGTTGTGCTGTAAGGGGAGGATTGAGCGCTCACAAACATGTTTAACCCCGCCACATTCTTTATTTGCCTGTCCCAAGTCAGGAACCTGTAGTTCAGTGGTTGTAATTGGTTCATGTCTGTCATATTTGTTTTTCGTAAAATGTAATGTTATAAATTAGGCCGTTAGTTTTCTGCATTGAATCGTTTCATATTTTTCATGTTGGAGCTTTTAAAAGCCAACTATTCGGTATAGGTTTTTCTCATTGTTGAAGGCCGTAAGGTTGCATATAATTGCTTACATCCACTTCATTTGAACTTTGGTGGATAGTTGAATTGTCACATTGGCAATCATACCTGTGACATCTCCTTATTTTTATACCAACATTAATTCATTTTTTTAACAGTGTAACCTAAATGTTTAAGTGAAATGAACCTGACATACAATGCATGTAACTATTCTACTTAAGTTCAGGTCATCTGAGGTTTAGAGTGAAAGCATGATAACCTGTTTCAATAGTGCACATTTTATTGTCAACATCCTGTGTTTAATTTTGAAAAAATATTTATATTCCAAACCAGTGACATCAATAAATTGAATAAATTAATTCTTTTAATAAATAATGCGCCCAAAAACCAGTTTCCTACTCTTTACAAAAATGAAGTACAGAACAACTAAGAAGCGAAACATTTCTCACCTAAATGTACAAAAATGTATGCATGCATTCAAATTTCTACGGAAATTCAGTCTTCACATTTTTTTTTAGTTATATAATCACTTCAATCTATTTTTATCCTTACAAATGTTTATATTTATAAATGACTTTTAATTTTCTGCTTCAGCTTTTCTGAATTGTGTTTTTATTATCTCTCAACTTTTTTGGACTGTAGTTTCTTTTTCAGATTTACACTTCATCCGACAAAATAAATTTCATACAGTAATTATATATCTATAGCTAGGACACTGAAACTTGGTCACTGAATGATAGAATCATTCACGCCATCTCTCAATCCAACAACTTACTTAGAATCTTTTCCTTCATAATTGTACAATGCTTTAGCACATGGCAGCTTCCCAACAGACTGAAATCAGACATATTTATTTAAATGTTAATGCAGAAACTTTTTAGATACAGTTCCACAATTTATTGTCAGTGGTTTTAAATATGGTAAATAGAGGTAATATCTTGAAAAAAAACATAATAAAACACAGATTTCCAAGTGTCTTTCTTTGAGAAAAAAGGCCTCAAACTTAAACATGTTAAAAAATTTTGTAAATTCTTTAGGTTTCCTGTCAACAAATATTTTAAGCAAACATGAAAAACATAAAACCATTCAGTCAATTTATTTTGATTATCAGCTTTTTCCATTCTTTATCTTCCTCAATTTTATTCTATGAAAGAAGGCAAAAAAATGGCAAAGGATACAAACTTTTTTTTATCTTTCTTGGATTTTGTTTATGCTTTTCAATTTTAAAATCATACAAAAAGGTCTTTTATTTCAGTGTCTGACCTGCCAACTATCCCGATTTATGGGGGATATCCCCTATGAGAGGAGTTGACCTGAATTTTGAAATTCTTTAGTATATAAACATAACACCTCACAACAGGCATTCACATGAGTTAAAAGGGTATTTAAACACATAAATACTCTTTCAAACAATATAGTAGTAGATTTAAAACACTTTAATGTGACAATATAAGGGAAGCATTTGGTGCACTTGCGCTTAAGTTGGCAGGTATGCAGTGTCAGGGCACCGATTAAAAAATACTAGATACCATCTCTGTGTTTTTCAAAATTAAAATTTGTTGTCATTAGATTTTATATTGTTAATACAATTGTACATAATTGTACTTTTATCTTTAACTATGTTAAAACCAGTATTTAATCAATGTTTTTACAACTATTAGTAGTATATATACATATGTCAGTGTTTATAATGTTCAAGGTATTAAGATATGTTAATATTAATAATTTTATGGCTTTCTATATCAGTCAGTCTCTATTATGTCTTAATTGCCAGAAATTACCAAATAATGTTATTATAAACAATAAAGTTAAACATTTGCAATCTCAGGTCACTATTGTGTAATCAACAATTATTGATAATCAGCATCTATCTTCTTAAAAACTTCTAGTTCATTGACAAATATCAGTAATCTGCAAATCCCCCTGCCTCCTCCCATATCCCAAAAAATAAACACAACACATACACATCATTTTGTTAACACTTGTACCAACTGTAATAATCAAACATAATTGTTAAAGTTTTTAAAATCATACACATGTATCAATCCCTAATTAATTTTTAATTCACTATTTAACATGTTTAATTTCAAACAAAATGTATTGTGATTACATTGGCTATTGATCATAAACTGTTATTCAACTGTGTATGAAAACATTGAAACTCTGGCTAGAAATATGTACTTATGTGCTATGAGATGCACATGCTGCGCACAAAAAGGATAAAAGCTTGATCACAAGTACAGTATAAGTGATTAAACTAAAATAAAATAGTTCCTTATTTTTACCATTTTACTATTTTATGATAATTTAAGACCTAAAAAAAAATAGCTTCTTCAAAGTTTTTAAGATATATTAAGTACATTTAAAGAATAATGATAAAGTCTATAAAATAGGTAATTTTAAATTGTGAAGGAACACTTATGTATATACGTTGAATTTTTTATGGTTTAAAACTGTAATCATGGTAATGACTATCCAATGAATTAATAATGATATTGCCTTTATTCATTTATCTGTACATAAGTTTATATGTTCCCTTATGCTTTAAGGTGTATATAGTTGCTACAATTATACCCTATGGGTAGTGCTTCACAATTAATAGAGGAACATACAAGAAACTAAACTGAACTCTACAGGTAGGGAAAAAAATACACAAGTGTTTACTTATATTTTGTTCTAGACATTTATGACTGGCGATACATGTAATGATGATGTATATACCTGCTTTGAATGTCTGTCAGTTGCTGAACCAGAAGACAATTCATCATTTGTGTATCTTCCTGGAGATCTTGATCTTTCAGTACAAGTTTTAGTTTTAATACCTTCAAGAAGTCTTATCAAAAGAATATTTGAAGGAAGCTCTTCAACTCGAATTTCAACAAGATATCTACATTCAGGACAGCGAAGTTCTCCTTTAGTGCTAACAATTTCTTCCAGACATCTTCTACAAAATGTATGTTGGCAAGGAAGAACCTTGCTTGTATGGTCAAGTCTGTCCAGACAGACTGAACATTCAAGGAGTTCATTCAAAGATTGCTCATCCATCAGAACTAACCATTTTGCAACTGTATCACATATCTTTAAATATAATTGAACTTTTATTCACTGTTTGAAACATTCAATGTTCACTTCAGGAAGAACATCGGTTTGTAAATACCATCTACAATAATTTATTTTATATGACCGTCTGCACGTTTGATAATATTCACTGTTTCTGCAGAAACAGGTCTTTTATGATTTAGTACATAGAACGTAAAAGTTATCAAACGATAAGGAAAATAAAAGTAATTAATAAAGTCAATTAAATAAATCTTGAACTTGAAAACTTTTCACTATTTTGTGAGTTCGTATTGTTGTTTTTCACTGTAAACTTTGGAAGCCATTTTGAAATTGACCGGAAGTTGTCACAGAAAAATAAGTTTAGGGTTTTTTGCGTTTATTCAAGATTAAATACACATTCCACGCCATACATGTGACATATGTTGTCATAATATTTTTTACAAAATAAGTATTTTCGGCTATAATATTCTGCAAAATGAATTGTTTACTAAAATGAAGTTCACTTCCGGTTCTTCGACCTTCACCTTTATTATGGACACATCCAAGATGAAGTGACAAGCCCACTTTCAAGCTGTCAAATATCTTGAATACCTCGATATTGATAAGTTATGACTGAAAATGCGTTTCTTTAACATGGTTACTCAGTTGATACAATCAAATATTGAAATCATACTGTAGATTTATACAAAAGTAAGGAATTGTCCACATTTTTCAGCACATTTATTCGGTATTTGCCAATTTTACATCCAACAGCTCACAGACCCAAGTCATTCATTCTCATAATTCAGTAGAATGATGATATTATCCTGCGAACAATAATGCTATTATAAAAAAATCATTGTTAAGGTAATCTTACAGTATATGGGTGAATACACCTTATCGCTATTTGTCCGCCATTACTGGACATCACACAGGTTCCCGTAAAATTTTGACGTCATAATACAAAATATCTGACGCCACAATAAAAAAGTGATTGTTGTATGACGTCAATAGTTCAAGCGGGACAGATTTTCGGGTCAGCCGGGAATAGCGATAAGGTGTATTACAGTAGATATGTATATATTATTAGATTATAACCAAGTCGGCAGCTGGTTAAATCAGCACCTACTTAAAAATCATAATAGCATTTGGTTAGTCAATTCAGCACCTTCAGAAATAGACAAATCTGCACCTTTAAAGTCATCCGGCATTTTTTGTCAACTTTATATATCATTTCCATTTTTTTTCGAAACTTTGTTTTCTGGGGGCGAGGGAGATGGTTAGGTAAATACATTGTTAAAAATTATCACAAGTAATTGAGCACTAAGAATATACGATAACAATCAAATATTGGGCTTACTGAGGATTTCTCAATATTCATTAATAATGTTTTAATATGTTTTCGATTTAAATTCTTAATTTTAAACTTATATCAAGTCAAATGATTAGCATATTTAAAAGAAAAAAGAAAAGCTATTACATACAGCTACAGTTGATGCTAAACATTTATCTGTTTAAATACATTTTCCCAATTCTTTGCCAACAATATTCTATTCTCTATATTTTAGCAACACATTATCATGATTATTCTGTTTATTTATTTTCATGCCCAATTTTTTTTATGTCCCATTATTTTCTATTCATGATGTAGACTTGTGTTTGAAGTTTAATAAAAAAAAGTTATCTCTGAGACAAAACATGCTCTGGCTTACCATATTTTAATAACTTTTAAACTGCTCGATGTTTGGTCATTTTAGTACTGAAAAAAGGAATTTTTTTTACAACACCCACATTTACCCACTAACTGTGGAGTCGGCCTTGAGAGAAAAAAGAAAAAAAATATATTGGAAAATGGAAAATATTGCATGGAGTATATTAATTGCAAAACATCATGACAACCATGGTTGCTGATAAAACTGCACTGGGTTCTGGATTAAGCAGGTGCCAATTTGACTAGGTTCAAAATTTACTATACAGAGACTTCAGACCTGCCAACTATCCCAATTTATGGGGATATTCCCAATGAGTGGTGGTGACCTGAATTTTGAAATTCTTTATTTTATAAACTGAACACATCAAAACAAACATTCAAATGAGTTAAAAGGGTATTTAAGCACATACATTATGTATATAATCATTCAAACAATATAGTAATAAATTAAAAACATTTATGACAATATAAGAGGAGCATCTTGAGGATTTATTTGATTGTGGTGGATGAATTATCACTTGCAAAATGGTTCTTAACCTGTCAATGAAGAGAAAGCTCATTGGTGGTGGTGTTGAAAAAAAAGAAGTACTTTCCTTTTGAACCTGCCACAGTCCTAGAGAGTTGCCATCCAGCAATGTGCTAGTAAAACTTTCAACAACAAATAGATGTAGTATCATCATTGACATCAATAAAGAAATTATGCAAAAATAAAAAAGGTTTCATTAATTGGAATTAATGTTGGCACTGCTATGAAATTTTTACTAGCAAATATTAATTCCAGTAACTGAAATCTCTTTCACTAGCAAACATTTGTTCCAATAACTGAAATCTCTTTCACTAGCAAACATTAATTCCAATAACTGAAATATCTTTTATTTTTGCCTAATTTCTTTATAGATGATACTACATATACTATGATATCGAAGCTAAAACATTTGCAGTATAGTTTTACTAGCACTTTGCTGGATGGCAGCAAGACGAAAACAAAAATTGATCTAATCCCTAAAATACATAGGCTTCAAATACTCAGAAGATGAGGATAATACATTTAAGTTGACTAGCCATTACATTAGGGGACACAGTCACACAGCAGAGTACTTTTTCATAAGCTAGGATATACAATGTATCTAAAGTTTTTAAAATTTAATTTCAGGTTCCAATGCGACAATTATATTCTGCCATGTTGCAATGAATTTGAAAGCAAAATGTCTTGGTTTAAAAGAGGAAGAAATGATTCAAAACTTTCCAGCAAGTCTGGTAGCAGTGATAGCTTGCTTGATGGTCGACCAAGATCAGAAACAGACCCACAGACCTGCTTGGAAGTTTTCAAAAACCACTGGAGTCAAGCTGTTGGAATTATAAACAAAGGTCAGATACAAGATAAAGGTCAACAGGCAATTGACGAGGTTGATACTGTCTTTCAAAACTTTGAGCAGATGTTGACACTACTTGAAAATGAAGAAGGTCTGGATGACAATGGTCAAGGAATGCCAGGACCTATACTTCATTACTTATTAGAGCATGAGATATTTGAGAAAATATCTGTGTGGTGCCAAAATCAAACAGAACAAACTGACAAAATTATATTGGAACAGTTACGACTTTATGAACAATTGATTAGTCAGTCCCATCAAATTTTATTAATTCATAAAGCTGTAATTCAACCTTTATTAAGACTTTTGTCTTTTTGTGAAGAGACACAAAACTCCTCTGAAATTGAAGTTAGACTTGTTCTCGTTTTGCATCAAATTTGTGTCTGCATATCACAACAAACTTTAATTTTAGAAAGCTTCTTCAACATAAATGCTAACCATGGACCAGCACGTTTTCTAATTTTTTCATTGTTGATACCATTTATTCATCGAGAAAGGCGGATTGGACAGCAGGCTAGAGATGCTTTATTATTGATTATGTCCCTTTCATCAAAACATCCTCATATTGGGCAGTACATAGCAGAACACTCAGACTTTTGTCCGGTAAGTCAATTGTACCAATATGAAAGAGAGTACATTTAAAGAGTGTTATTAGCTACATTGTGTATAAAGACAAGGTTGAAACTTTTTTTATGCTAATTTGTAAGCATTTTATTGCAAATCCAGAATTATGATGGGAAAAAAATCATATAATATATAGATACAAGTGATTGAAATATGGCCTTAGTTAATGAAAAAATACCAGAGCATTAGATATAAAAGTCACTTTTTATTTTTACAAATGAGACAGTTCATGCTGGTCCCATTATACAGTTGGATTGGAATGGCATTGTAATGAGCAGTTCTGAATTTTTTGACAAAGCAATAAACAACTGGAATTATATTGGACAGTGAAAGTACTTCATGGTGTCAATTTTCATGGTTTGGGTAAACAAAGTTGGTTAATATGGGGGTAAATTTGTAGTTTTAAACATGTCAAAATGACAAATTTATACTCAATGAAATTCGGTTCTAAATTCACCGAATTATACATTCAACTTGAGATATAATTTATATAACACAATACATTTATAATGATGTACATTGTTGCGATTTTTTTTGTGTTAGGTATTAGCTACTGGTTTAAGTGGATTGTATTCTTCATTGCCAAGAAAGCTACCAAACACATCAGAGGACTGGTCATGTATCACACAGAAAGACATTACAGCTACACCAGAATTACAGATGTTCCTTAACTCATTAGAATTTTGTAATGCAGTTGTACAGGTACATATCAAAACTTTTGAGATAAGTCACGAAATATGTCATTGTTCATTTGAAGGAATAGGTAAACCTTGCTTTATTTCTTAAAATGAGTGGAGGTTAAACTGCATTTACCTTGTCTGTCTGTCTGTTTATCCAACACATATTTCTTTCACATTTTTCTCGGGTATTACAGAGCAGAATAACTTAAATTAGGTCAACAGCTTAAGTGTGACCACTTTTCAGACCTCCAAGACATCTTCTTCCTGTTTACTGATTCTTTGAATTTTTATACGACCGCAAAAAATTCCTCAAAAGAAAATTCTCTTCAAATATTATTGGAGGGGGGTAAAAAAAAATAATTTTTTTTGGGGGGGGGGTTCAACTTTTTTTTTTCCCCAAGATTTAAGAAATTGTCTATTTTCCAAAGAAAAAAATTGGGGGTCACAATCTGTTTTGCTAATTCTTTGTATATAGTCTGAAAACAGATTTACTAAGTATTGCACAACAGCACAGTGTATTGCACAACAGCAAGAAATCTTCAATTGAATATAAATTCAAATCATACAACCAATTTCAAGTTTTTTGACTACATTTATTCTGTGTCAGAAACCTATAATGTGTCAAATATTTAATTACAATCCAAATTCAAACCTGCATCAAGCTTGAATATTTAGTCCATTTTTGCCTCAACTGTTCAGGGTTGGACCTCAGCAGTCGTATCCAGCTGCGCTCGGCGAAGCAGTTTAATATGTTGAAATAATAAAAACATTTCTTCAGTACCACTCATAAGTGTGATTTCATATTTGGTCAGCAGCTTAAAGTGATGAGTTGTATTATGTGAGCACTTTTCTGATCTGTTAGACACCTACTTTCTGTTTACTGATCATGCTGATACTTTGAATGTCGTGTAGGGGTAAGTTCGGCATGACATGGTGTTCATTCTTGTTGCTTTTGATTTTTTTCATGGATGGTATTTAATAAATTTATATTGTTATTATGAAAGATAGAAGGAAATGATTATCCAAGAGTAATTGGGTAATTAAAAAAGGCAAAATATTAATTCTTTAGGAAAATTTGTACAACACACAAGAAAAATCATTTCAACACTTTCGTGACTTTTTTGATGAAGGGGAAAAATTCTCAAAGATTTGACACAAGAAAAAAGATATTTATAAAAATATTTCAATGAGGGTAGCACAGATACCACACTCATGATTAATTTTTACCTGATTTTTAATATGTGATGGATGTTTTTATTTTTTAGATCTCTGACCCTCAAGTTAGATGTCAGTTGATACAATATATATATGATGGATTCCTGGTACCTGTGTTAGGACCTGCATTACATCAGGTAGGTATTAGCACTTGGTGTACATGTATTTCTTTGTAGATGCTTGTGTATTTGTTGTGAATTATGACTTTTATATTTATATAAAGTGTGTGATTATACCCAAGGTCTCTTTACAGATGGTTACTTCTATGAACTCATGCCATGATGTTGTGATTATAAATTGAATTTTTAAGTCTTTAATGAATTATTTAGAATTAACTTGATATTATTGTCTCATTGCCAATTTCTCTTGTTCCATCATCAGTTAATAAGTTAGTATAGGTTATTGAAAAACATATCTTGCACTTGGAAATAAGTATCATAAATTATTTTTCAATGCATCAGACATGTCGGATCACAGATTAAAAGAAAGTACTTAATGATTTTTCTGTCTTAATATTTCCTGTTGATTTATTAAGTTTTCATGCATTTCAAAAGGTATATGTTAATCTTGAATTTGATTGTTCAATGAAATATAAATTTCCGTAAGGCTTTTACATGTTTGATACAAAAGTCAAATAACAGTGAACAACTCAAAGTTCTATCAACATGATCAATGCAAAATTCAATCTTTTTTAAATCTATAAAAATTGCTACATACGACAAAAAAATAAATCATTAGAAGTATGTAAGAAGGTGATATCAATGAATAATTGTAAAAATAAATTACATTTAGAAAGACGCCTAAATTTCATCACTCTATTTTTAGAATTGAGAAGGGAAGTAAGCCCCCAAATATATCCCAAAAATAAAGAAAAAATTTCCAAAAAAGACTCCATGTGAAATAATTTATAGATTGATCATTGTTGATGTCATTTGATGAAATATTTTTATTATAATATTGGAAAATTATCCCCAACATGGAAATATTTGGAACCATTTGTTCTTATGTTCATATTTTCAAAGCTGATATAAATACATATTTGTTACATTGTGGATTTCAAATACCAACTAAAGTGCTGTAAAAATACTGTTGAATTAATAAAAAAAATATGTTTTTATTGTGAAAAATGCAACAGAATTAACTCGTTTTAAAATATTTGTTTACATTAAATGTATTGAAATATAATTAATCCTTGTTCAATGATTACTGGTTGTATGAGGGAGGAGTAATATAAAACAAGAATTTCATCTTAATTTGCTGTATTACATCCACAAAAATATATGTTTATATTTTGTTATATTTATTGTTGTGTAATTTACAACTGGTGTGTTTGTATGCATTGAAATCAAATTTTTGTGTGCATTTCTTATAGCAATTGTTGAACAACTGAAAAAAATGTGATGATGCATCAAATTATGCCATCAAAATTCAAAATGCTAGTTTTTTATGCAAAATCTATCCCTTTACATTTTTCACAATTATTTAAACATTCCATAAATTTCTGAATTTATAGTTTATATTTTTGAAATAATTCCACCTTATGTAATAATGCTGTATTTTGATTGGATGAAAGAACAGGTATTTTTCGCAAATTTTCTATACATTGAGATTTTCTTTTCTCTGCTGTTGTATTTGTCATTAGGGACTTCCATGCCCCACGGCAGATGGGAAATACCATGTCTAAAAATAACGCGACTTCCAAAGACCTCTAGTACAAATACACAAGATTGTCAAAATGCACAAAATATATAGAATTTATGGTACAATAAAAATATGTACCATTACCGGTATGTCATACAATACACAATATCACTTTTGTCCGCCATGACTGGACATCATAAAGGTTCCCATAAAATTTTGACGTCACAATAGAAAATGTTTGACGCCACAAATGAAAAGTCATTGTTGTATGAAGTCAATAGTTCAAGTGTGGCAGATTCTCGGGTCAAGTGTCGCTGATTTCCAAATAGCGATAAGGTCTATACAAATTTGCTACTAGGCTATTTACAGTTTAGTTTAGGAACAGGATTATTGGACAGTGAGGAACAGCTGATTACCATTTCACATAAAAAAATTATACAGTCAAGCAGAAACTTCATAGGATACCTGATTACAATAAAAATTCTGATGTAAAGATGGATACAAAGAGTATTAGGTGGAATTAAACAATTATATCATGCTTACAAGGGGTATTTGCCAAAAAAACCGGTTTCGAGGTTTTTGCCTCAAAAAACTTTGCATGTTAATTTTGACATTCCAGTTGTATACATATACATAGTGACTTTGATGACAAACAGGTTCCTGTTGGTTAAATATATCATTATCATATCAGCAGCCGTTAAACCAATGTTATAGAAAGTTGACATTTATTATGCATGGATGGTTATATATGGATGATAACTTATTTAGTTGGAGATTTTGTGGAATGGGGGGCAAAACATGAGAAGTCCTTTCTTTGTATTAAATTTTCAACTGAGAAACTTGTAATTGTTCTGGAATGATAATATGATACCCGAACAATATAAAGTTTATCCATGTTCATTGTGTTAGCCTCAAAGTTTTTTTGTAGTATTTAAAAAAAAAAAAGATAAATGTAATTTCCATTTGATAAAAAAAAAAAGAATACATGATAAATTGACAAATATGCTTCTTATTTTCAACCACTTCCCTTGCTTTTTTAGGCTTGTTTGGTAATAAGTTATGTATTTAAGTATAATGTAAAAGTTAAAGTATAAACTTTGAAAGAAATGTTACTTTAACTTTTCCTTTCATTGTTTTTATTTGTTGGTTATCAAATTTTGTGGATTAAGATCTATCATGTATTAAGTCCTTAACAAATAAATTATGTGCTGCTTTGATAAGAGCAAATGATTAAAACCACAGTATCCACTACCAAAATATATTCTATAGATAATATTTATCACCGAAGTCATAAAAATTGATAACATTAAATTAAAAGATTCCACATGTATCCATATTACTTTTGTGTTTCACACAATCTGTGGAAAGTTGTTTTTGTGCAAATTTCTCTTCTTTAATTTTTTCAGATTTGAGCACCTTTAATTTAACTTTAGACTTAAATAAAGATTATTTGTAAGTTAAGCTGTTTGCAATCTTTTGCAGCTATATTTTTTCATTTTCAGCAAGGATTTTTCTTTTTTGAGGTTTCAAATGAATTCTGTGCAAAATCATTGAAATGATTTCACAAAAATCACAGGGTATTGTTTCCAAATTTAGAAGGTATGACATGTAATACACTTGATAGTTGTTAATTTAATTAAAGTCAAAGTCATTTTCAATTTAAAAAGAGTGAGGTAAGCCAAACACAGATGTAAAAGAATAACAGGTTTTTTTTTTTAATAAAGTAAATTTGATAGTTATTTCCCTTTGTTTAATAGTTATTTCCCTTTGTTAGGATGTATCAGGACTTCCACTACCTCTGCTAGATTCACCAATGTTTTTGGTTAGTTAAGTATATCTGTTGTATTTGCTAGTTCATGTATAATTAGGTGCCTGTTTTTGCTTTTTTAAAAGTTGGTTATGTGCATTTTTATTTCCATGTTCTGTGCATTTTTTTAATCATCCCTTTTTACTTGTTTCTTTCTATTTCACTCCATTTGTTTGGTGTCACCTGTAGTTACTGCAGCTGTCAAGAAGACTGGAAAACTGTAGCAAGCATTAACTTATCTGCTTGAAAGTTCAATCAAATGCGACTGCATATGTAAATTTTAATTTGAATATGATGCATACTACAGTATATTGTATGGCTGATTTTACTTCTACAAAATAATATAGTTAAATGTTTATGCAAGGCATGCAAGATGGAATTTTAACCCAATATTATTTTCTCTTTAATAATAATTTATAATTATAATCAGATGTTGTGAAAGACTTTGCTTTAGGATTCATATTAGGCTATTTTATTCATATTGTTTGATTTGATGATTAATTATGAATTATGAATTAAAGAAGATGTGGGGTATACATCAACTAGACAGCAACCCAATGACTAAAAAAAACCAAAAAAAAAAAAGACATCTTAAAGACTTGAAAATTAGTATAAGCTGTATTGCATAATGTTACAATGGGAACAAGCATGTTACTATTATTAGAAATCTGGCTTAGTATGTTTGTCTAGTACAAACAAAATCTGGCTTAGTATGTTTGTCTAGTACAAACAAGGTTCATAATCATATCACCCCAAATTATTCAGGTCTTGATATGATGTAATATTTGCTACTTGATCTTTAAACAGGCCATTCATTTTTGATATTTATCTTGAGTACTGTTGTTTATTTATTTCTATGCACAATAATTGGCCAGATGTTATATTGCTTTCAAACTTTTTATGTTTTTCATCTTAAGTCCTCTTTCTATTTCTAAATGAAGAATTTGTGTTTTATCACATTAGAATATTTGTTTTTTATGTTTATCACTTAATACACTAGCAGAGGTACATTATACCAGATAGTAAGATTCATAATCAGACTGAATTAAAAAATATTTGTTTTTTGTTTGGTATGCTTTTTTGTTAAATTTCTTTTTTTCAGTTGCTGCAAAATTAATATATTGAATGTTTGTATGGATGTTACATGATTTTTATTACGATTTATTTGGAAAATTATGATTAAAAAGTTATTGAATATAACTGAGGCCTGCCTTTTAGCTGTTGTAATTTAAAATGTTCTACAGGAAATGTAAGACATCATGTATTTATTTGATTTTTATGGTTTATGCATTTTGCATAGCTTATTTGCTTGAGTTGCTTGTTTTATGAATGTTTTTCTACACTAAACACATTTTTTAAAATGAATTCTGTTTGAAGCATGAATAAAACTTGAATGTTTAACCTATTAAGATAGATACATACTTTTACATACAGTCTCTGTGTATCAACTTCTAAATAAACATGGGTTAAAGAAGACCTGGAAATTTGAAATAGAGTGTTTTGCTAGGCCAAACATGTGGGCTCAATTAACAGAAGATGGGAAAGTTTAAGATTGACAAAAATAAAAAAAGAATTACACATTTCTGATGTGGCAAATGTACATGTATTGTACCTTGTCAGTAGTTGTTTTATATCATATCTTAATGCTTTCACATATTTGGCAATGTTTGGTGTTAACTGCAGAACTTTCAGTTTTTCTGTTAATTTATTCACAACATTTATAGACTTGGGACAAGCTTGACATATTATATAGACACCTGTCTATTGTTGAAGACTGTATTTTATCTTTTAGATGTTGGATATTTTTGTTGTTGGGTTCCTGTCTCATGGACGTATAGTCAACATCTCCATTTATCCATGTTAACAAGAATTTTCCTGACCTTTTGGGGATTTAACTGGAACAATTGGTTAAATGTTTGGCTTTGAGTTCCGTATTCATACATGAGATAATATTGCCAATTTAAATGCTAAAGAATTTTTAAGGAAACTTTGAAAAATTACCCTTTTTTAATTTGGAATGACCAATGCATATATTCCACATCTGAATAACATGATAAAAGACAAGTAAAGCTTAGTTTTATGCAGTATAATAAAATAAGATTTTTGGCATAATATTTTATGCAAACAAAGCATTTCAGATTATTTTTCATTACCTGGTATATTGTGAGGATAGATTTGATTAATTGTTAGTAAATTTAAAGTTTTTTATTGTTCCTTTTGATTTAAAAGATGTCTAATTATTAAATGAAAGTAAAAAAGAAATAATTGTCTGTGTTGGATTTATTCTTATAAAAATTTCACATAATATTCCAAGGCCAAGATTGAAAACTATAAATATTTAAACTTGTAGGAAATATAATAGGTGTACATGAATATTTAACCTTTCCTTGTATATGATGATAATGTACTTCTCTCTTTTTTTAGAATTCTAGAGAGGAAGTTATAGCCGCTACAGCCTATTTAGAATTGTTCCTCAGGAAGATCACAGAGCCTGCCTTAATTAGAGCTTTTATAAGGTTTATACTGACAGAACAGAATGATGAGATTATTATCTTAGACTCACTCACAACCAGGATTAATAGTAGTTCTAGAGTAAGTCAGACAAACCTACGAAGTATTTTTATTTTTCACAACCTTATTCAATTATTGCAATATTACATGTAAAATATAAAACCAACTAACAACAGTGAGTTTGACTTATGACTTAGATCGTCTCTCATATATACATTGAAGTAAATCAATATTATTTTGTAAGACCAGATAAAACCAATGTTGATTGATGGGTGTTTAATGCCACTTTCAGCACTTTTGGCTATTTTGTGGTGGTCAGTTTTTATTGGTAAGGGAAGCCAGAGTGCCCAGAGAGAACCACAACCTTCAGCAGGAAAACTCACAATCCTAATCAATTACAATTGTATTGGAACTCGCAATCCAAATGATGACAGGCTAGTGATACAGGAATTGAACTACTTAGACCACTCGTCCACCGAGGCCCCTGATAAAACCAAGAATTGACAAAAAATATTCAAAATGTGTATACTAGTTTTAGTATTGATATATCCGTATTACATTTTTATTTGTAGTTTGTGGAATTATAGATTTACTGTATTTACAGTAGACATCGGAAATGACTCATGTGTCTTATCTTTCTTTCAGTTACTATGCTCAGCCTCCTTGTCATTATTCAAAACCTTGGTAGATTTAAATTGTGAAGATGTCATGTTTGAAATTATATTCAAGTAAGTTTTATTTTCATTTTTTAAGCAATATATTGTTAAATTTGATAAAAGAAGATTTTTTTTGAGTTATGAATAAAAGGAGGTTTATGTATATGTCTACAACACAATAACCACATGATGACATCTAAATCAGACATAAAATGTAAATGGGCTCAGGACATTTTAGCGCAGACATTATAGCTCATTTTAGCGCGGGATTATTCCATTCACCTGTATTTTCAATAGCCCATTTTAGCAAAAAACTTACAAGGTTGAAAAGACTCAGTATACTAAGAACATGAACAGTAATTTATGCTGACCTAATGTTTAAGTTGTTTGCATTTATAATTTAGGTCATCATAGAAATAAGTGTTGTGGAAACAAATGAAATAAAAGTGGTATGCGTGTTGGCTTACGTCACCAAGCAATTTATGTTCACAGGATACTATTATCAAATTACAAACAACAGCATATATTAAAACAAAAAGTATCGATGAATCTGCACTTTATGCTAGACAAGATAAAAAAAAAGAAAGTTCCTCTCACAATTTTTGGAACAGAATTGTACATCAAGAGCCCATTATGTATGATTACTGGGAAATAATTTGACTAAACATTTTAGACTCTTCGTGCTGTTTTTTTATGGACATGATATTTTTTATATTGAATTGTCTTGATTAATATTAAATCTATCATTCTACTATACAATGAATAAATTTCTTTCGCTAAAATGGGTAAAAGATCGTGTGCTAAAATGTACTTTGGTGCTAAAACAGCCGATTTTTTTCTCACTAAAATGTCCTCCGTTGATGTAGATATACCATGAACAACATGAATACAGAAACAAAGGATTGATCTACTTAAAGAAATACATGTATTACAAATAAACAAACAAAGCACCAAAAAAAAAACCAAACAATAGATGTATTTTCACTTTGATTGTATTGCAGTCCATCATAAAAACTAATTAAGGACATTGCCCATGAGTTAGACATTTTAGAGATAAAAAAAAAAAAAGTCACTAATTCCAATTGGCGTATATCAGCAATCCAATAAACAAAATTTGTCTTTATTAGGAAGAAAACAAGCTTAAACATATTTCAATAGTATTGCCTGAATTTTCATTTTAGGGTTAAAACCCAATATGCAGTTTGACATTTACAAATACTAACAATACATATAAAAAATAAGGATGACATATTGATTTTATAGACATCTGATTCCATGTTCACATGTAATGGTCAGTCAGAGACGAGCAGTCAAAGATTTAGATTTGTACAGTAAAAGTTCTGAAAGATTCCTGTCCCTCCGTCCAAGTTGTTTGGTGACTGGTTCCCAAGATATTCCTAAGATACCAGATATTGAAACAGACAGGTAATTTATTAACATGCCTGCTTAATTCTTAATTTTTGACACACCTGCTTTTATTTTAGTGGACAAATCAGCTTACATTCAGATCATTCATAACCTATATTTCTTTGTCCATGTAAAATACTTTATTAATATTCTTACAGATTATATGTCATAACTTTTATTTTAGAAAAGTTTTTATACTTAAATATATTTCCGATAAAAACTTCAAAAAGTCATACTCTTACATCTTGAAATAATGATAATAGGGAAATTTCTTTGTAAACAATTTTTGACAAGCACAATTTTCAGTTCATAAAAAAAAAATAGTAACTTGTAAAAAGATAGGAATTTGAATTGAAGAACAAGAATTTCTTGGAAATAATTAGAAGAAAGTGCTTGTATTGGATGCTATGAATGTTGCTTTAAGTGTAGCATTGGTGTTTTAATTTAGATCAAACAACCTAAAAATAACTGTAAATAGACCAAAAAGAGGTCTTGGCAGTTTTCTCCTTGCTCGGAAACAAGAACTGGAGCATCAAAAAGTCAGGTATTGATTGCTTTTAGAAGTCTGGCAGCTGTGCTTTAGCAACAACTGTGATCTGTCCTTCCTATACATGTATATATGAATAAATTCTTTACACTTTTACTTTCGCTAGAATGTATCTAGCAATTATGACGTTAACAGAGTTTTTCATATGGCTTGGTGAAAAAATCATCTTATTAAAGTAAACATTTATGATTGATTGACATAGAAACTACACAATGATATGCAAACAGTTATATTGCATACTTAATTACAGTTCAAACATGATACCATCATTTGATATAATATTTTTGATGTATTAGATCGAAATATGCTTTTCTAATACCTCACACGAATAAAGTTTGGGGTATTTGAAGACACATTATTGATGTATCAGATCAGAAAAAACTTTTTACTTGTACCCTGTTTTAATAATGGTTGGGGTTCATAAAGACACATCAACTTAAAAGTGGAAAAACAAATAATTCAGCCAAAAAGAAAGCAACAAAAGTTCAAGAGAAAGTTTCTGAATTCAATAACATCAGAGTTACAGAGGACAAAAACGCAGCTACATGAAAAATTATCTTTTAATTCTGTATAAAGGAATGAGTAAGTTTACTGAAATCAAGTATTTGTTTTTATAATGAAATAATGCATGATAACTATTTGTCACATTCTTTGATCTGCTATACTTCTAAAATATTGTATAGGTCATTGTCATAAACAACACAAGAAAAAATATGACATTGTTTAATACCCTTTTTATGCACAACTATAGAAAAACAAATATAACACATTTTATGGATATATCAAGACATTCAATAGTAAATCAATGTTTATTCAGGTTAAAATTAGTTTGCCCAGAATAATGCTCTTCCAGTTATTGGGCTTGGGACAAACATAATGCATTGTTTGACCTTGGTAGAATGTTATAGCATTGTTTGACCTTGGTGGGATGTTATAGCATTGTTTGACCATGGTAGGATATTATAGAGTCAGTTGAGTTTCATTTTAGAGATATGTCCCATTGACAAAATGTAAACCTATTTTAGCACACACTTTATTACTACAGTTCCTTTTACATGGTAAATTTTATCTTTATGAGGTTTACTATTTTGCTAGATTTTTAATTATCCATATGCAGATTAGCATGTGATTTTTGATAATCTGGTCCTTTGAGATTCTTTAAGGTTATGCCCTTTAAACTTAGAAATATTTAGGTTTATCCATAATTCAAATAGTTAATACAGTTGGTCATTCTTTTATATGGTAAACTTGATCTTAGTTTGTAAATATGCACATGTTAGGATGTTCCAGTTATTTTTCACTAAATGTCCTTTTAAATTTTAAATTTGATGGACTTCAGCATGACTCCTTATAACTTTACCATTCTAACAGTAAACTCCTTTTACTTGGCTATTTGTATGTACATTACAGTGTGTACATAGTTAAATTCTTTTTGCAGGAGTTGATGTGGGATTGTCTGTTTAAGTTTTGTTTAGTTTTTCCAGGAACTTGGGGTAGTCATAAATTGATTCTGTATTTACTATAAATATAAGAACATTCCCATTTTACAAATGAATGCTCTAATACATGTATGTTTTAACAAGATCATATTTGTTGTTAATGTTCAGTTAAAATCCACTGTTTAATGTTTGTAAACTCACTGTTAATGTTTTTGTTTTTATAATAGTTGATCAGATTTGTTCACAGTTCTCCTTTAGATGTATGAAAATGTTAAAATAAACAACATTTTGTTCCACTTTGTTTGATTATGTAATAAAATTAAAACACCTCTGCCTAATATGTTAATTGCATGACGCATGCTAATATAACACACTATATTAATAGACTACATTCTTTCTTCTTGCTTAATAATATAAACTGTAGAAAATGTGCTAATAAAAATATAATCCATATTGAGATTTTTGATAAGATATTATTTAAAAAATGATTTGATTTTTTATACCTCCCCGCAGACAATTGCTTAATTCAGTGTTGCATTATGTGGGAATAGCAACTCCTGTTTAACAGCTAGACAAATAATGATGAAACTTTCACAGTTGTAAAACATTAGCTACCTGAGAATGTGCTAAAAGGAATATAATCCTGGTCTTACATATGAAAGGATAGATAATAGAACTTACTTGAGTATTACAATATGTGGCAATAGTCTCTTGTAAGCACATCACCTTCTAAATGGCTTGACAGATATATATATTTATGGAACCTAATACAGTTGTAAAACACTACCTGAGGATGTGCTTAAAAGAATATAATTCTGGGGTTACATGTTAAAGGGGAGATAATTGGACTTATTTACTGCAATATTGAAATATTATTAGTTAATAATCTCTCAAAAAAGTGCAATTCCATCTAAACGGCTTGAAGGATAAATTCTTATAATAATGAAACTTTACTCATTTGTCGAACACTACCTGAGGATTTCATAAAAGAGAATAGAATGAAAGACCAACTTGTTTAAGGGGAGATAAATAAATTTGAGGGGTGGGGTATCCTTTTATGAGTTAAATGACACAGTTCTACTTTTTGTTTGTTTTGTATACTTACAAATGTATGTGTATAATTTTTTAACTAGAGGGGTCTAAATACAGCACAAACAACATTTTCCAAAAGACCAAAAAAGTGAAAAAATATATTTAAACAAAACGCATTTGACTAGCAGGTCGAACAACGGATGTTCTTAAACTCTGCTGACTGCCATGGCGATTGCCAAATAAAAGGATCACCAGATGTAACAAAATGGATCTTAATTATTAATTTAATACCAAACAGAAAAAAAAAAAAAACTTGCGGAAAAGGTGGTATACCGCAAACATGAGGTGCAAAAATTTGTACACCATATCCGGATTTCGACAATTAATGTCTCTTCAGCGATATTAAATGTTAGATATAGCTGCATTTATAGAAACAGCATAGTAGTTTGCTAATCAATAAGAAAATATGTTAATTTAACAATATAATCCGCTTATATTATTATATCTGTGGTTTAAAGTGTTTTTATTTCTGCCTATCAAAATTGACATATTTCCAATGAGTAATGATTGCAGTGTTTTTACCAAATTTAAACATTATTGTGTTTCAATAAAAACTAAAGGAGAAGGAAGATGAGGCTCTTTTGTTTTGCCATTTGAATTTAAATGCATATTGGCCATTTAAATTTGAATATCACAAGATATCAAAAATCTGTCAAATGACATCTGTCAGGTATTTCAAACAAGAAAAATGTCTCTCAGATATAAGTAAATGTTTATTTGAAAATCTACTATCTTTGCTAAAGGCCTTCAAACTTTGTGCATTTATTTAAAACTACCAAAAATAGCTGCATACTTTATACCATTCATATTTAGATATGAGAAACAATCTTAACTAAATTAAAAGAATATTTGTCACCAAGTTTCTTAAACAGTTAAATATCTTTTTGTGTAAGGCTAGTGTTCATGTTTAGCTAAACCTGTGTGAAATGATAGTTTTGGGTTAATTTGTAACATCTTCACCATACTACATGTGTATTACCATATTTATTTATTACTAAAATTAATATAATTTTGGAAAGATTGAAGTATTTTACTACATGTATTACTACCATTTCAGGGGCCAAATAACGGTACATATCTATTCTATGTATTTAAGTTTTGAAAAATACATTTTGTTTACCTTTTTGCTATTTATTTGAAAAACAGATAATATTTAAAATTTTCTTCATTTTAGCATTAGGATAGCTTTCAAGAGGACCATTTAACTAGAAACACAGTAACAGCGCCTCTGCTGTGTTTTATATTCAATTCAAGTGGACATAATTATAAAAATGTTTTTTTAGAATAAGCATGTATTTATAGATAATTTGATACAGGATATATTATACATGTACAAGATTTCAGGTAAAGAGCATGCCTGTGTTGGTTTGTTTGTTATGAAATGATATTTCTATTGCACAATTTACATGCTACAAATCTAAAGTAATTAGGGGCCTTGGTGGCTGAGTGGTTTAAGTAGTTCAACTATTGTATCACTAGCCTGTCAACACTGAGGTTGCGTGTTCGAATCAGCCATGTGGCTGGTGCGCTGGACTCCAATCTTGATTGTCATTTTTCATACCAAAGGTCAGTGGTTCTCCCGAGGCACTCCGGCCTCCTCCACCAATAAAAACTGACCGCCATAAAATAGTACACCAATCAATCAAACAATCTAATTTAATTTCTGACATAATGTCACAGAATTGCATTATTTCAATTACTTAGTTATATAATTTATGTAATTTGTTAAGAAAATTTCTTCTATATATCTTTTAACAGGTCCAGATCAAATAGCTTTGAAAACAGCAAATCTAATTTTACAACAAATTCATTTGGAGGCAAACTAGAGCAGTACGAGTCTAACTACATAGATTACTTAACTGAGGCAAAATTGTTATTAGAAAACTGTTCAAAGGCATGCACAGTTTGGACTTACCCTTACAATGGAGATATCCCTCCGCATGAAGTCTTCCAAGAAATCATGAGTCCGGAGTGTAGTAAAAAATGGTTTACAGATTCAGATGTTAGCACTGTAATTAGTGGACAAACAGCAAACCTCAAAAGTTGTGATACTTCAGTTAGTGATATTAATAGTGTACATACAGAAAATAGTCCGATAAGTTTAGGCAATGAAGATTCTAAGGCTTCAACAAACCTTTCTGGTGCTGATGATGTTTTTGCAAGTGATAGTTTGCTAACATATTCTACAATTCCTGAGGTTTCGGATGTATTACGGAATCTGGATTGGACATTATTGGATGACCCCAATTCACCTGTAGAAGATGTCAGTGAATTTATTGATTATTTGAAGGAGGTTGGCACACCTCCTGAGGAAGACCCTTCAATACAAACTAGTATTCAGTCTTTAAGTTCTGTATTTAGTTCTTTACGTTCTTTATCAAGTTCACGGACATCCACACCATGTACATCCAAATGTGATTTTAGCAAACCTGATGATATTAGTGTATCAAGCAGTCTTTCATTGGAAAAATCTAGCGAAACTGTTCTTAATTCAGATAAACAAGAATTAAAATCAACTAGAGATCCAAAAGTAAAATTTGAAAGTGGTGATGCAACTACTTTTGAAGTAATTGATTCTGTGAATCAGGCAGAGTCAAGTCACAACAAGAGTAAGATTTCAGAAACAGGAAGCGAGTCATGGTCCGCAGTAAATAAATCAGAAAATAAATCAAACCAACAGGATGATACCAGTTACATAGAAATTACCATGTCTTCATTACCAAACGGAAAATCATTACCAAATGACATGGCAACATTACAAAATGGAACAGCATCTCAGTGTAGCGATTCAAGCACTGATGGTTCAACCAAAAGAAGTGTTAGCTTTTCACTACCAACAACTTCTATGCAAAATTCTGTTTCCAAAGTGCCTTCTGGTGCAGGGTTATCCAATACACCAGGTATAGGTAGGTTTGGTTATTGATATACAATGAACTAATAAGATCCCGCTTTTGTTTCAAATCTTTTATTTGCCTACTTCAGCAAGAAAGATAGATCAATGAATTAGTAAGATTAGACTTTTGTTTAGATGTTTACTTTGCCCTTCTTATGATCCTTGCAATACTTTATACATATGTGGACATACTACATCAAGTGAAAAAAATATACATTGACGTATGATGTAGCTGTTTTATAACTTCCATTATACATTGATGTATGACATGTATGATGTAGCTGTTACTTCAAGTATTTGATTTAATGATTTAAATATGTCAATAAACATTTATTTATGTCAGTGGCGGATCCAGGGGGGTTCCGGGGTAGGAACCCCCCCTCTTTTTGACGATCAATGCATTTGAATAGGGACATATAGTTGGAACCCCCCTTTATCCAGGGTTGGGAACCCCCACCCCTTTTAAAAATGGCTGGATCTGCCCCTGTATGTACTGATGGCTTCTTGCTGTTTGCATCATCTGGTCTAGTGGTGTGATATTACAGATTCTTTAATTCCACCTGATTTATACTTTTCTCGACAGGTTGAATATTTTTTTATGATTGACGTTTGGTTCGTTTGAAAACAGTTCTTCATTGGTCAAAATTCAATATGACTTAAATTATTTTGCTTTCCTCTAGATCTGAATTTCTTATTGTGACATCAAGAAAAAATGCGATCATGCCTGATAGTGTCACATGCATCATGTTAATAGATTTTGTGTAATTTTTTTATTTTGTACAACATTGTTTCCATTGTAAGGAAATTTTCAGAGATGGATTTAAACATTCTTAATTAACATGATTAAGTGTGGTGGCTTCGAAGAGTATGAACTCTTTGACACTTGAAAAAGCAGGAAATATTGATGGGATAGTAAGTAGTAAAAAGAAAACTGACATAGAAAAGGTCTCTTAACACACTTGATCCAATGGTTTTCTGTACAGATACATCTGTAACTAGATCATTTACAGTAGTAATGCAGTATCTATCAGACATTATTTAGATAACATGTAACTATTAATCCATCAGTCTGCATCTGAATAAAGTCCATGAAGTACTGAATTGGTCTGGCTATGAATAATCACCAGGCGCTGTTAATTTTGTGTTTTGTTATTACCTATTCTATTTGAAGATAGGAAAATACATATACATGTACCAGAGCTTCTTAAAAAGACCTGATAAAATCGAGTTTCTATTTGTTTAATAAATATAAAAAATATTGTTATTATTTTTTTTAAGAACGTTTTATTCATCAAATCTTGCAAGCTTGCTACAAAACTCATCACGATTCCTAGCTTTTGATGAACTCTATTACACTCCTCTGACCATGCTGACTACCAAGGGAAAAAAATTGCTGATTTAATTAAAAAAATTATATTTCAATGTTGCCTAACCTGCATTTTCTATAGTATTTACTGTATATAATGACTGAGTATATTTTGTAGGACCATTCTTGACTGCCTTGTTGACCAAATTGGAAGGAATGATACAGAACCCTTTTGCTGTCAACTTTCTTCTGACTGGCATTATATCTCGCCTGGCTGCATTTCCCCAGCCATTACTACGGTCATTCCTTCTTAGTCACAATCTTGTATTTCAACCCACTGTAAAATCATTATTACAGGTATATATATAAATATAAGCATGAAGTTTTGGGTGCATTTTGTCTTTTATATATTTGCATGCACATATACTGTATGAAATTCCATGTATCTTGAGTATGATTTTTGTGGTCCCATGTAAAACCTGTATACATATTGTAATTTTAGTTGCAATGCAAGATATATATTTTTGAGGACAAATTATTGAAAAAGAATTCCAGAAAGATCTATTTATGCTTTTAAGTCTGAAATGTTTGGTTTTCTTTTAAACATGTTAAAAGCACAAACTTTTTTTCTCACATTTATGGCTTATTTGTTCTTGAGATAAGTTCACTTACATGTATCTGTAGAAATGCAAATGTACAACATCACTATCATGCTTTTTGGCTGTTTCTTTATCACATTTGCAATGCAGTCTTTCCAAATTATTTGCAGTATTAATACAGATTTTTCTGCCAAGTTCATTAACAAATACTTTGATACACCCTGTGGTTGTCTAAAAGTTGGTATTGTTTCTGTATTTTGTGGTAAGATTTTAAGGCTATTTTTAACAGAATGTGTGTGATATCTTTGCTTGTTTTAGTCTATAATTTGTTGATATTACCTTGCATCAGTGTTTTCAATTCACAGATGTAGTGTGATGATTATCTATCATAGAAAACTGCTAGGTGCTGTCTTGAATTTGCAGTAAGAATGAGCTTTTGTTGTGGGTTGAAGACCTAATGGGGATTTGAGTTAGGGAACAGCAATAAATGCACTGTTTGTTTGCTTTTGGTTTTGTCGTGTGTGCTTTGGGATTTAAATCATTTTATGTCATTACCATATCCTTTTTTTAAAGAGACACATGAAAATCTTGATTACAAGAAGTAATAATGTTGATAAAATTATGCAAATGAGTTAATAAGCATGATATTTGATTTCCATTTTTATTCAAATCTTGCATACATATATATTGTATTTCCTCCTTTTTACCTTTGTTTATCTCCTTTGGTTTGTTAATATTTATTTTAGTTAAAATTTTAAATTCCAAAATGTCACAGAAAATTATTTCCTTATGTCTATGCAATAGATTAAGACAGGAATATAAAACAAGTGTCTGTCTCACTTCATCAAAAGTGATCCAGTAGTCAAGTCTTGTCTTTGAATTTAAGCAATTTTTAGCTCACTGGTCCAAAGGGCCAAGTGAGCTTTTCTCATCACTTGGCGTCCGTCGTCCGCGTCCGTAAACTTTTACAAAAATCTTCTCCTCTGAAACTACTGGGCCAAATTTAACCAAACTTTGCCAATATCATCATTAGGGTATCTAGTTTAAAAAATGTGTCCGGTGACCCGGCCAACTAACCAAGATGGCCGCCATGGCTAAAAATAGAACATAGGGATAAAATGTAGATTTTGGCTTACATCTCTGAAACCAAAGCATTGAGAGCAAATCTGACAAAGGGTAAAAATGTTTATTAGCTCAAGATCTATCTGCCCTTAAAATTTTCAGATGAATCGGACAACCCATTGTTAGGTTGCTGCCCCTGAATTAGTAATTTTAAGGAAATTTTGCCTTATTTGGTTATTATCTTGAATATTATTATAGATAGAGATAAACTGTAAACAGCAATAATGTTCAGCAAAGTAAGTTCTACAAATAAGTCAACATGACCAAAATGGTCAGTTGACCCCTTAAGGAGTTATTGCTCTTTTATAGTCAATTTTTAACAATTTTTCGTAAATTTTTGTTATCTTTTACAAAAATCTTCTCCTCTGAAACTACTAAGATGAATTTAACTAAAGTTGTAAACAATCATCATTAGGGTATGTAGTTTAAAAATTATGTTTGATGACCCCGCCCTCAAACCAAGATGGCCGACATGGCTAATAATAGTACATAGGGTAAAATGCAGTTTTTGGCTCATATATCTAAACCCAAAGCATTTCTAGCAAATCTTTCAAGAACAAAATTGTTCATTAGGTCAAGATCTAATTGCCCTTAAATTTTCAGACCATTCAGGCAACCCGTTGTTGGGTTGCTGCCCCTGAATTGGTAATTTTTAGAAATTTTTTCAGCTTTTGGTTATATATTGTGTCCTTTGTTTAATATGCACATAGACCAAGGTGAGCGACACAGGCTCTTTAGAGCCTTTAGTTTTTACAGCGAAGGTTTATTTTGACAGTCCTAATGTGGATGATATAAAGTGGTCAATACATCAGATCATTGTCTCTGAATCGTTATAAAAATATCTTAATTAATTTCTAACAAACAATCCTTTTTATAACTTTATGCCTGTATTTAGTTCAGCATCTGCCAAAATGAATATTTAGATATAGGGAATTCCCTTAAAATAAGCAACTCCAAATTTTTTTAAAACTATTTTAATCATCAACTGCTAAACTTTACACTACTAAAAAATAAACCCAAGCTTTTCATTATTTTAACTAAGAAAACATCATTTAACCATATAACAACATCATTTGTTGTAAACCCTAACTAGTAAACCAATAAAAATTGTATGTTGCATCTTACAGAGTTTTGTTGTTTAGGTTTGAATAGTTTTATTACATATTCAACAACCCTGCAAACCATAGGTATCCACTTTATAGGATCAGTGACTTTGACAGTACTGGTTTACTTTGTTCTAAATGAAAACAACAGATAGAAATAAACAGGTCCACCATATTCATTTTTTATGCCCCACCTAGGGGCATTATGTTTTTCGGTCTGGGTTCGTTCGTCGTTTGTCTGTTCTTCCGTTTGTCCGTCTCTCCCGCTTCAGGTTAAAGTTTTTGGTCAAGGTAGTTTTTATACGCCCGTTTACGGGACGTATTATGGTATACCGTTGTCCGTCCGTCCCTCCGTCCGTCCCTCCGTCCGTCTGTCCATCGTCAACATGTTGGACATTAACTCAAAAACGCTTAAACCAATTTGCATAAAACTTTGGTGAATTGTTTATATCTATTGACGTGAGCTCCCTTTTGTTTTTTTATAAATTTTAGATTTTACGTTTCCGAGTTATGGGGTTTTATTCACTAAAAAAAGGGGGATTTTCCAGTTTTGGGACAATAACTCAAGAATGCTTTCACCAACTTGCAAGAAATTGTGGTGAATTGTTTATATCTATTGACATGAGCTCCCTTTCGATTTTTATATATTTTAGATTTTATGTTTCTGAGTAACAGGGTTTTATTCATAAAAAAAGGGGGGATTTTCCAGTTTTCGAACAATAACTCAAAAATACTGTCAGCAATTCTCATGAAACTTTGGTGAATTGTTTATATCTATTGATGTAAGCTCCCTTTACATTTTCATAAATTTCTAATATGACATTGAGAATTAATTTAACTTTAATTGTTTATAGTCTGAGAACAGATTTACTAAGTATTGCGCAACAGCACAGTGTATTGCACAACAGCAAGAAATCTTTAATTGATTATAAATTCAATTCATACAACCAATTTCAAGTTCTTTGACTACATTTATTCAGAAACCTATAATATGTCAAATATTTAATACAATCCAAATTCAGACCTGTATCAAGCTTGAATATTGTGTCCATTTTTGCCCCAACTGTTCAGGGTTTGACCTCTGAAGGTGTATCCAGCTGCACTCAGCAAAGCAGTTTATTGATGAAGTTGAAGTCCATTCAACTTGAAACTTAGTACACATGTTCCCTATGATATCATATTTCTAAATTTAATGCCAAATTAGAGTTTTGACCCCAATTTCACGGTCCACTGAACATAGAAAATGATAGTGCGAGTGGGTCATCCGTGTACTATGGACACATTCTTGTTTGATATGCTCTTTGATAGTTGAATTTTTCTTAAAGTAATAATGTTATTAACTAGGGTCCTTAAAGGACTTATATACTCCAGAACCAGTACTAGAAGTGACTTTAGATCCATTGTGGCTCAAAAAAGAATCAGTTTCATCTTTGAAAATCCTACTGAACATTTACCTTTGGGGAATAAATCCAATTTAATTGGCCAAAAATGGAAATATCAGAGAATCTAGAAATGGAAGTGTAGTTTGTCTGCCTTTATAAATTAAACTCATTAAAAAATCACCAAAACAGAGGTATTGTTTCTTTATTTAGGGAGGTACTTCTATAAATATAAATATATATACAGAAACAAATATTGAAGTGAATACTGTAAATTCAGAAATTATTGCAATGTTTCTATTATTACACAAATTACAACAGCATACATAGGTTTTGCAAAAATCAAATCTCACAATTTAGATTTTGATAGCATTATTTTGTATGCAGCATTTCCTGAAATCACAATAATTGATCTGGCATTTTTGTCCATTCTTCAACTATCACAATAATAAGTGCACACAATAATTTCTGAATTTACAGTAAATCATATACATGTACATATATGTATGTATAATAAATAATAATATCTTTGTACAGGTTATAGCATCTGTAAGGCAAAAGGTAGACCACTGTTCCTATACCATACCAAACTTTGAACAACTATTGTTGAAGGCTAGAATGACCTTAATTGTTAGAGAAGAAAATTGGAGGCTTGGAATAGATCCAAATCAGCTTCAAAACAATGCTGTAACTGTCAGTGTTCCTCCACCACCAGAACCTGTCGTAAAAGGTAAAATCTGCATTCACATGTACATCTCTTTCACAATTATTGTAAATGTCAGTGTATGTCCTCCATCAGAACCTTTCGAAAAAGGTAAAATCTTTTTTACAAAGCTTTCACTGTTATTGTAATTGTCAGTGTCCATCCACCACCAGAATCTCTTGTGAAAGGAAAAATTGTCTTCACAGCACTTTTGTATTTATTCTGTTTGTAATTGTCTGTCCACCACCAGAACCTGTTAATGAAAGGTAAAATCTTCTTCACAGCAATTTTATAACTATTTTTGATTATACAAATACAGATGTACAGATAACAAGAAGCGATAAACAATTAGTATACATTTATAGTCTCCTGGTACAGTCGATTCTGGTTATTTGCATAGCCTATTTGTCAGACAAAATTATGCAATAAAGCGGAGTATGCTTATATCCGAAATGCCAAATTACGGAGTCAAAAAACATCGATAGAACAGATGAGTAAAGGAAATCCCTGAAGAAAGATGAAAGTCTATAATCACTTACAACATATTGAATGTTGATTTATTCTAATAAAAGTTACATGTTATTTTAATTTGTATACTTTCAATAAAGATTATAAACACATTTTGTTTTAGTTTATTTGCGTACCGATGTTTCCTTTACCTGGGATACGAAAATAAAACAAATTGTTCTAAAAATAGATTTGTTTCTATGACAGGTATGTACAATGTACATTGTTACGCTTTGATTAAAAGAAACTGTTAAACAATACTACACAGTTTATAATCATTTTAACAAAAGATGTGTAATGAACTGCCTTTGATATGCACTATTTACAGCTTGCACAATGATGTAACACTGTTTATTTAACTTCGTTAGTTTTGTATATGCAAAGCAGTAATGGGGCCCTGTACGGGTAATTTGCTGGACACGAGTGTTTAAAGTGAGAAAATATAATAATTAGAAGTAAATGCTCTTTTAATAAAATAAATGATTGATGTATGACATTCTTTAACCATATATAAATACCCTGTAATATTTAACATAAATGCAGATCACCCCAAGCCCAATTACGAGAGTTCACATTGGATAATGATCGATAATTAGCAGGCGTTATTGTTTTTAAAATTCACCCCAAATGTAATCTTTGGACAATGTTTGAAATCCAATCAATTATTAGCACCTTTTGAGATAGAATGGTCAGTATTTTTACAACAATTACCTGTTTGACATTTTTATGACCTCGAGGCTTAAAATAGAACATGGGAAACTTTACCTGTGTAGACATCAAGGTTTATTTTTAAATCAAATTCCATCATATAAACACGAAAGAAACTGTTTTAAAACTTTATTTAAATAACACAAAAGTAAATATGAAATAATAACGAAAATAATGATGCATTCAAGAAAAATATACTCACCAAATTGCCGTTTCCGGTCAAAAATCTCGTCAGTTTTAACTAAGCATAACTAGATGGCGATTATTTTCTATGCAATAAACCGAAAGGCCACTTGTAGAGCTATGCATATAACCAGACAATTTAACATTAGATGAATGGGAAATGGTTTTGTGCAGGAGAAAACTAATCAATTAACCGAATTATGCTATTAAGCGGTATGCAACTAAGTGGAGTCGACTGTATACTGCTTCTGTTGCGAACAAATGGTTATATTACTGTTTACATCACAGTTCAATTTGAGGTCCTCATGGCAGTCCGCAATAAAGTCATGTCAATTTCATTCAAAAACAAATTCAACTGTTGGGATGTAAAAATTCTATAAGTTCAAGCTCAATGATAAATTGCAGAATAAAAATAATTGTTGTGCAGTGTATGAATATATTTTATTTATTTGTACTTCCTACGAAACAGGAAAAAAGCTCAGCAAGTCTTGCTTTTCTCCCTGTTTCTTAGGCTTGTATAAATAAATTTTTATATTTTCCTAGTTGTAATTGTCAGTGTCCCTCCACCACCATCAATGATCAATTAATGATTAATGTTACAGATTTCTAGGTTTGGAATAATGATACTTTTACATCATTTCAATTTGAAACAGACTTCACTGAAGGTTAACAAAGGAATCTTTAACAAATCTATTGTTTATATCTTTATAATAAAACTTTGTATCCTTTTTTCCAGAGAAAAGAAAATTAAGCCTCACAGATTTGCTGTTTAGAAGAACACCAAATTCGCAAAGAAAAACATCAAATTACAAAGCAGGTAAAGGGGCACCTCAACTACAAATTATTCCAGGAGGGAAAGGATACCGCTATGTCAATCAGAGACAACAAAATATCCCTGATAATCCAATGGATTCTCCCAAAACTCGTCACTCTGTATACTGTGCTGTGATTTTAGATGAATTTGTTAAAGAATTGGCAGCTATTTGTCAAGAACATGCAGTTCTTATTTTAGATGAAGGTTACTATAGTAACTGAATTGTTTACAATTTTTAAACATCTATTGTTAATTTGTTGACAGCTTTAATTATAGTTATAAACCTTTCCTGGTTTGGGGTTTCTCCTGGCTTCTATATGAAGGATAAGTTATAGGTTTTGTTTTCTTTGGAGCAGTCAATATAATTTTTTGTGTTGTCCCAAAAAATTAAAATGGAATACTTTTTTTAGTAAACAGCCAGTTATTGTAGTAGCAGATTATTAGTTATATTTAGTTACACTTTGTATTGGAAACCTTTTTTTTTACTTTTTTTTTTATCAAAGTAAACCCTTTTTAGTCAAATGTAATTATTTTGTAGATAAAATTAGGTAACAAATCATGAAATGATCCTTAGGTAATGGGTCTTAAAACTAAAATAGATATTTATTATTATAGTCGAAGCCTGATAGCTTGTTCTTTAAGGCTTTGTCCAAATTATATTTAGAAATGTGTGATCTTCAAATTATTAATTAAAAATTAGATTGAATATATGCCAACTGGTGTAGAAAATTTGATAATTTTTTTGTTTTAACTATCAACAGTTTAATTATACATTTAAAAGTAAGATTACAAAAGTTCTGAATATTTGAATTATAGATCAATTTAAATGTTAATAATTTAAAGCTTTACTAGTGTCTGTTTTTGTTTTCATTGATTTTATCTAGTTATCCATTCAAAATGGCATTCAAGTGTTGTGTTCACCTTAGGTTTTGCATTTTTTGTTATGATAGAAGTGCTTGCCAAATTTATATTTATCATATCAGTTTTCCTTTTATTTGTCATTTGAAAACCTGTTATTAATTCATGTACCGAGTCAGTATGACTGATATACATTTTTGTGGAATGTTTATGTGAGTCGTGTGTGTACTTAGGTACTAAAAAACTGTAAGCTCATATTTTCTAAAGTAAATTAAGTCCAAGTCAACTTTTTTTGTTCCCATTCTTGGCGTCAGTTATTTTCTTTTGTGAAATTAAACAGATCATTTGATAATGATCAAATTTAAATATTTTTCAGAAACCATTTTTGTTTGTTATATATTATTTATTTATCAAGTTAAGAAAATTATGAATATGCTACACTTATATAAGGAAAAGTATAATAAATAAATTAGATTTTTTTATCCTGTACATATCTATATTGTATGTTTTTTACTCTTTGGAAAACTTATTAGATTTTTAGACTATAATAATATTTTTAATACTTGATAATGAAATATATGATTCTATGCAATATTAAACACACACTGTATTCTTTTTTCATAATTTATACCACCATGATATACAAATTATAACTAATTCATATATAAAACTTATCTAAGAAGTGTATTGGGCATCAGTTATGTAAACTTTTTTCTATTTACTACTATGAATTATGGGTAAAATAAACTAAAGAATTCTTACTTTACATTTAAAAGGCAGCATGCTTGAGAAATTGAAAACATGTAAAGCTTTTCCATACTAGTAAAGAATTCATGTTGAACTGGTGCTAGGGGAGGTCTTGAAATTGCAGTGAGGTCAGAGCCTTTGCTCAATATTAAAAGCCTCGCTTTGACTTTGAGGTGAAGAACATCAATTAAAGCAACGTCTCTTGGCTTGATGTCAGGGTTTTGTGTCATGAATTTATACAACATATCATTCTGTTCCATTAAACATAGCTATTTGGTAATAAATTTACTGCCATACTTCTCTAAATGGAATGGAATACTTTAGCTGTTGAAAGTATAATTTTTAGAATAAAGGTAAAATTGTTGTGGTGGGAAAATCTATTGATTTAGTAAACACACTTGCTTGGTATTCTAATTTTGGTCAAGAAGGTAGATTTATTAATTTCAAACATATAACTGTTTTACATGAGTACTTGAAACTTAGATAACATTTGTGCAGATTTAATTACATATGTGCAGATATTTGGGTTACTGTTAGTGCAGATTTACTTGTATTTTATGAGAGATGCTTTGGTATGTTAAATTCAAACTTAAACTATATGAAGTTAATTTTATTTTGTACATCATTTGTAGATGTACCTTAAGTTTCAGGTTTGTAACAATGGGTATAAGGATTCACCAGGAAAACAGGCATTTTTTCAAATTTGGTCATTAAAAATCGATTTTTTTTATATTTCTGTATGCTTTTATTACTATTATTAATTATAAAATGCAGGATAAAGTAAAGTAATTTTCATTATAAGTTATTAAGTCGAGCTTTTTGATAGTGTTCAATTGTTATTATTTTGATTTATTTTTTTATTTCAAGTTTTATGCTTTCTTGAAAGAATACTATATCATGTATATATCAACTGTAGATGTTTGGAAAGGTTTGAATTCCACAAATATGTATAATGAAAAAGGTTAATTTTGTTTTACATTAGATTTATGATTTACCTACATGAACTTGTGATATTGTTCCTTATTGATCTATTTTCAGAAAATCAGTTACCATAAGAAAAACTTCATATTCAATAGGGATATGCATAATTTCAGGAGAACCAAATAAATTAATATATTTTTTATGTTATGACATGGCAATTTAGTCATAATATGTGCCTTTTTCATGAAAGTTAAGAAAAATGCTAATTTTGTCCATTTTTCATTAATATTCCTTTACGGGGAACCATGCATATCCAAAAACCAAAATGTTTATTTCAGAGAAGCTTCCATACAGCTAATTACACTATCTTACAAAATAGATAGTTGTTTCTTTGGTTTGCACATTCTTTCCTGAACCAAAATATATTTCAAAGACGATACAAATCAGGGATTTTTAAAAATAAGCAATTCATGAGGTTTGTTATCATGGTGGCTCATCAAATTTGGTGTTTCTTTTCAATGTTTACAAACCTGCTACCTTCGTCATGGTAGGACAAATTAGATATCTTGTGATGTCAACTTTTATTTTTCTCTAAATTTCAGGACAAATAAGGGCCTTATTGCCCCTCCTTCTTTGATAAATCCCACAAATATGTCAAAGTAAAATCTAGTGAAACACAGGTCAATTTCTGCACAGACATGGATTTTTTTCACACAAATATGGAGCAAATCCACACAAACTTAAGGGCACTTGTCCAAAAACAGAATGATTACAGCATCAATAAACTTTCGTTGTGATTAGAAAACATAAATGAAATATAGATTGATCATAACTTAAATCAATATTATGATAATTAAACTGTTCTCAGTAATATGACTTTCCCCTTCATCTTTTAAAAATTTACTAAAAATCCTGTAATCAATAAGACATACATTTTGACAGTTATCACATTCCAGAAAATATATATAAATATATTATTGTTTGTTTTCATATAAACTAAAAAGATAGTTTTTGTAATTTTCTTAAAATTAGTTGTTTCATTAGTTAATGACAGAACATTATACAGTATATTATTTTCTGTTTGACATTAGCATTTTATACACTTCACAAGTATTCCTGAACAAAATTACTAAAATATTTCTAGCATTTTATACACTACACAAGTATTCCTAAACAAAATTACTAAAATATTTCTAAATGAATCATTAGGGATGGTGAAAGAGGGTCTGCATACTTTTTGACATCTTTTCAGTTTTTAGGTCTGCATACTTTTTGACAACTTTTCAGTTTTTAGGTTTTCTCAGAAAATATCAGAAATTTTCTCTACTGCTCTATTGCAAGGTAGTTTTCAGTATTTTACTGGATAGGATAGATAAGAATGAATGCTATATCTGTAGGAGGTTTCCTAGTTTCTATTGTCATTATTGTTTTTACTTTATACCATGATATTTTATAGGAAGCTCATATTATCACCCCTTTCAAGTCCCAGTGTTATATAACACAGCTACATTGTAGATACTTGAGCAGGAATAAAACACAGCTACATTGTAGATACTTGAGCAGGAATAAAACACAGCTACATTGTAGATACTTGAGCAGTAATAAAACACAGCTACATTGTAGATACTTGAGCAGGAATAAAACACAGCTACATTGTAGATACTTGAGCAGGAATAAAACACAGCTACATTATAGATACTTGAGCAGGAATAAAACACAGCTACATTATAGATACTTGAGCAGGAAAATACTTGATATATTGGAATTGGAAAATCAAAACAATACTTCTCCTTTTTTTGCTTTTTAGAGTCATTGTTTGGTGCTTTTGGTGTTATTACTGTTAATTTTTCATATTGCATTGTTTTTATCTTCTAAGTGTAATCATACAGTATTATTGGAATTGACTTACATTTAATGGACAGATTCTGAGCTGGTGCTGGATCATAGAAATGCCATTATCTAAAGATCTCTGGTCATGCATAACGTTATTTCTGATGTACATGTTATCTGGTTCCTTCCATTGTAATCTGGATTAATTTGCTTCCTTTTTGTCCAGTTTTAGTTATCAGCAGCCATGAATACCCAGACAGAATTTAGACAAATACCTGCACTTTCATTGCAATGAAGTTTTAGAGCTGACCTTATGGATCAAACAGCTATGCTGACAATGCTTTTTGACAGCATTTTTCTATGAAATTATGTCTGGTTTTCCATTGTAATTGGAAGAATTAGGGAAATAAGAATACCATAATCATTTTGTCTGTAAAAACCAATCTGATAAAAGACATTCTATTTATAGGGATGCCTAGAATGCTTATAAATTGTAGTTTACATGTAAGGAACTTTAATGTCAAATTACATCAAATCATATTGATTTTGAAAGATTTTTGTGAAAAAAAATTGCATTGATATATTTTATTCATTTAGCACTATGAAAAATATTAGATATATGTAATACCACTAACACACCAAGGTAGCTATGGTAATTAAAAATGTCTCCGCAAACATATAATTTTCTATCAATTTTGACTACAGACCATATCATATGTTGTTCATGTGATTTAAAGATTAAATGGTATGGGTTTTATATAATTGTTTTATTTTATAGGTAACTATATTATCATTCCAATTTGATTACTGTCTTGTAATTTGATTAACATTATAATGTTTATAAGATTGTAATGGAGCAGTTGCATTTGTTTATTTCACCCTTGAAATGCATACCTATTTTAAGTTAACAATCCTGAATTTGTTTAAATGAAAATAAGCATTAATGGCAAAAAAAGGGGGGCTAGGCAATATGATAAGAAATTTATGATGGAAGAGGAATATGGAAGCTATAACTTTATAACAAGGAATTTTATACTTCACAAAATATCATTGTATTTTTCGGAAAGTTTGTTTTTCAGTGCATAAGAGAGTATGAAGCTGCACTTGTACTGTACACACTATACATTTATGAATGTTATAACAGGAAAACATTGTCATTATTATCTTGCCATGTTCTGAACAGTCTGTTGCAATATCCAGCTTATTGTTAGCCTCTATTAAAATTTCTGAAAAAGAAAAAAAGAAGTTGTTGTATGTATTTTCATTATTATCTTGCAATATTAATATAGATTTTTAATGCATGATTGATATACAATGAATCCCAAGTGCCTAAGATCATTTCAGTTTTTGTGTGGTTCCTTTTATGGTATTACCCAGTCTTTAGCTTTTTAGCTCACTGGGGCCCGAAGGTCCCCATGTGAGCTTATGCCATCACTTGGCGTCCGTCGTCGTCCGTCGTCTGTCGTCGTCGTCATCTGTCATCGTCGTCGTCGTAAACTATTTCAAAAATCTTCTCCTCTAAAACTACTGGGCCAAATACCTTCAAACTTTAACTAAATGTTCTTTAGGGTATCTAGTTTATAAATTGTATCCAAAGTTTTGATCCATTGACAAACATGGCCGCCATGGCTAAAAATAGAACATAGGGGTCAAATGCAGTTTTTGGCTTATATCTCAAAAACTAAAGCTTTTAGAGCAAATCTGACCTGGGGGTAAAATTGTTCAGTTGGTGAAGATCTATCAGCTCTGAAATTTTCAGACGAATCAAGCAACCCATTGTTGGGTTGCTGCCACCAAATTGGTAGTTTTAACAAAATTTTGCAGTTTTTTGTTATTATTTTGAATATTATTATAGATATATATAAACTGTAAGCAGCAATAATGTTCAGCAAAGTAAGATCTACAAAAAAGTTAAAATGACCATAATTGTCAATTGACCCCTTAAAGGGAAATCACACTATTGTTTATACGCATCGCTCTCGGCGCCGCTATAGTGTCGTGACCGTATTATGACGTCGCCGTTTCGAGTCCGTCGTAAAGGTTGCTAATTTCTAAAATGGTGACCCGCTCAAAGGGCTGTTCACTAAAGCAAGAGAAAGCAAATGACGTTTTGATTTAAGTGCAAAAAATGAAAATGCTACTCGAAACGGACAAAATGTATGGCAAAAAAATAGCCGAAAGTGGTCTTGATATGGTCTTGAATTACCTTACGATTGGGTTTAATTCAAATGAGTTACTCTCTTTAAATAAAGATATTATTATTATTATTATTATTATTATTATTGAGTTAGTATTTACATACAATACCATTTATACAATTATTTTTCTTAAGGGTTTATTAATTTCACCGACAAATATTGTTAGATATGAGAAATATCAACATTTTTTGTTGATCTGGTCTTTATTATTTGTAGCGAAATCCGTCAGCTCAACTTTTTTTTGTAGAAAAACTTTTTTTATTTACTGTAAAGTTTATATTTTCATATATTAACATATTTATTGATCTCGCAGATTTCTTAGTTTCACGAAGAAAAAAATATATTTAAAAACAAAAGAGATATTTATAACACTTTTTGTCGATCATTTCAGTATAATCAAAGCGTACATCGGCGAATGTGAAATCCGTCCGGTCAACTTTTTTTTTTAGAAAAACATTTTGTTTTACTATGAAGTTTAAATTTTCATATAAGATAACTATTAATCTCGCAGATTTCTTAGTTGTACGAAAAAAATATTGTAAAACAAAAGAGATATTACTAGTAACACTTTTTGTCGATCAGTTCAATATTGTAAAGCGTACATCAGTGAGTGTGAAATCCGTCCGGTCAACTTTTTTTTGTTAGATTTTCATAAAATATAGTCTAATATTTCTAAGGTCTTCAAATATTAAAATAATCTATCAAATAACAAAAAAAGTTCTGACTATTTATATCTCATCCGGTCAATACGGGCAATTGTCCTGTCATTAGTGTAACCCAACTGTTGGCAGCGTATCGTCGCGATGCGGTATGTGGGAATATACTGGAAAAAATAACAATATACCAAGAGTAACAGCATGTAAGTGTACAGCTTCCGGAATTTGTAGTATTTCTTCAAACTGTCAATTATAGCGAACTGTACGACCAGCAAGTTAAAAATAATGCCGCTAGACGTCAGAGCAATCTGGGAATATCAAACACTATGCCTAGTTATTTTTGTACTATTGATGACCGTACTGCCTACAACAACAACAAAAAATTCACACTGTATATTTGGCTTGACAAGACTCCAACAAGAGAAATATTTAACACACACACATGTATTTATGTAGAGTAACATGTCTTTCAGAGTGCTAATCTGTAACCATCACATTAAGGTCCGTCTTGTGAAAGAGTATTCATCTCATATAGAAAAAAAATTTGTGCTGATATTCATGTAATATTTGCCACTGAAAGTTTTGCAAAAATCAAGAAAAAAACGAAAACAAAAACAAAACAAAAACTAGTAATTCAGATGTAGGTTCGTGTTCAGATCACTCAATGTGATCACTTGCCTGTCAACAAACAGTGATATAGGGAGATTGTCAGATTCCGATCATGACTGTAAAGGACAACCATTTGTTTAAGGTAGCTGATTTACTCTTGATACCTTGGTTCTTTAAAAAAAAAAACGGCCAACATGATACAGCAGAGTGCTGAAAGTGGCACACACAATCAATCAGTTATTTTCAAATTACCTATCATTAATCAGTTTTGGCAAAAAAGTATATAGGCTATACCATACTGAAACATAAATGTGATAAAAGAATATACAATTCAAGAAAGAGAGGTGCACCAACAGAAAATAGAAACTGCAATCTTTCTTTTAATTCATCCTATCTCAGATCTCAAAATTTTAACTCTTACCAGAATTTATTCTATCTTACAGTATAACTCGGAAGTTTCTAAGTGGAACTCGAGCTTTAACTAGAACTCTTACTCGAATAAACATTCGAACTAAAAATAAAACTGGAATTTTAACTCTAAATTTAGCTGGAACTCGAACTCTTATTCTACATCAAAGGTTATCCACACTCTCATTTGTCATCTGATAAAAAAATTCGTAAGGGTTCCACGGAACCCAGTGTCGCGCCTACTTTTGCTGTTAATCGCAGGCTCAACAAAAATGAGGAAAAAAATCAATAAAAATATTCCTCTCGATACTATCTTTTGATTATAAGAAGCTTCTGTCCAAGTTTGGTATAAATCTAGGGTAGTTTATGGATCTAATAAATGTTTTAAAAACTTTATCTGCATACTGTATGTAATGTTAACTGGAAGAAAAACTAAGTCCATTTATAAGTAAAATACGGATAAACAGGTACAAAATTTTGACAAAATTTCCTTCGAGATACAAGCTTTTGATCATAAAAAAGCTTCTGTCCAAGTTTGGTACATATCCAGGATAGTTTAAGAAAGTTATTGAAATCTTAAAAACTTAAACCACAGAGTGAATGTATTGTTTCCTGGCAGAAAAACTAAGTCAATTTATAAGTAAAATACGGAAAAAATAGATTTTTTTTTACAAAATTTACTTCTGGATACTATCTTATGATCACAAACAAGCTTCTGACAAAGTTTGGTACAAATCCAGGATAGTTTAAGAAAGTTCTTAAAAATTTAAAACTCTAACCACAGAGTAAATGTATTGTTTCCTGGCAGAAAAACTAAGTCCATTTATAAGTCAAATATGGAAAAACAGGAATTTTATTTTTACAAAATTTACTTCTGGATACTATCTTATGATTATAAACAAGCTTCTGTCCAAGTTTGGTAGAAATCCAGGATAGATTAAGAAAGTTATTAAAACTTCAAAAACTTTAACCACAGAGTGAATATTTGTGGACGCCGCCGCCGCCGACGACGACGACGACGGAATGTAGGATCGCTATGTCTCGCTTTTTCGACTAAAGTCGAAGGCTCGACAAAAAACTAGAGTTAGATAAAATATATCAACATGTCCACAGAAACATGGATAGATGTAGCAGAACAAGAAAAATAAACTAGATCCGTTTATTACAAATTAAAAGATTTTTTTAAATACATCAACAGGGAACATTATATGTTCCTAATATCACTATGGCGATGTGTATTTCATTGTCAAATAACTCTAAATTATCAGATGCATTGTATTTCTCATAACATACCAACGTTGAGCGATTAATCGAACGGTAATAAAATATACGTAATTCATAAAGTTTTAATACACAGGCGATGAACATTGAACATATTATGTACAATGAACATGAAACGATGTATGAAAAATGGGTGCGGGATGATAGTTCGAATAAATTATGAAGCGTTGTGTAATTATGGAACTAATTTTAAATTCCTACCGAAAATAGGTTTCTTTTAACGTGCTGAGTTTGTGGCATTTTTAACACGGCATTTCAGGTTTTATCTCCCCGGTGCGAATGGACAAGCTTGTGAAATTATGGTAACGAAATTATTCTGCCTGCAGTCTAAAAGGAACGTGTTACTTTTCAGCCCGGATACCCTCAGTCTTCCGAGGTAGAAGATTCTTTATCTGGAAGCCGAAAATTATTTCTATAATACGGCATGAGGCAAACATTCGTTTTCCCCATACAACAAATGCAATTTAAAAAATGAGATGACTTCACCGTTGACAATTACTTTATAATAAACTGTTCAGTATTGTATCTATGTTTAACGATTCGATAGATTGATAAAGATATCAATGAATAATCAAAATACCTTAAAAAATGTTAAAAAATGATATTATATTTTGTAGTGAAAAGGTTTAATTCAACCCAAGCGTTGCAAGAAATGCTGTTATGCCAGCAACGTCGTTCTATAAGTTAAAAGGTTATAGTTCCCGCCAAAATTCAATAATAAAGATTATTTCCGTTTTAGCGGATTTAAAACATCGGTGACCCCCCTTTTTTATTTATGCTTTTAAAATCTTCCCTGAAGCTGCAACTTATGCAGAAGTTTGAAGGGAAAAACATTAGTAGATTTTTTTTTATTTCAAGAAAAATCTATTATAAATAGCAATTAAAAATGGCGGGAAATGTTCAAATGCCTTCAAAAATAAGGAAACCGAGACAAATAAATGTTCATAAAGTACAAGTTACATTTGACTGTTTTTGTTATTCCAGTTAAACATGGTTTTTCAATAAGTTTGTCTTTTTTTAACAATTTAGAGCGGTATTTCTATATTTCGTTATAAGGCGAGTCTTTAAGTTTTGATGACGTCATATCTC